TCTCTTGGCCGTGGAGAGCATACACTTCTCAGTTGCCAAGAGGTATTCCTCTCAGCTGTGAGACCATATACATATTATTTCTTTTTTATAATTTTACTATTTTTTGGTAAGAGGAACACCTCCCCAACCCTTTTGAAGGTTTTGGAGTTCCCGACTCCCAATTTTGAGGGTTGGATGTCCTGAGGACCGTCTGCAGACTGTCCTCTCAACGTCCCAGAAATTTGGGAGTCGGAACTCCAATTTCTGGGAGTCGTTTAACTAAGACCCATGAATAAATGACACTGGCAATGAGGATGTAGGACTGGGAAAGGGGATGTATAACAGGCAAATATAACTGGTAATGATATCTGGTAGAGATGTAAGGGTGATACTAGTGTTCTGATTTCTAAGACTATGGTTAGAGGATAATTCAGACAAGGTACATAGCATGAGGGCAAAATACATGAGGAAGAAGAAAGAGTATATATGTGTACAACATGTACATACAACAGCAAAGCACCATGGCTGGGTTCTGATAAGACCTGAAAGATTTGCAATGTACAGTGGGTTACTCAAATCATGCTCACATTGTTTTTCCTTCCCAAATTTCAACCTACAATCTTCAAGTAATGATACTTGGTGAAGTGGTGGAAAAAGTGTTCCAAATAATGATTTGATTTCCAAAATTTGGGAAAGATATCACATACTCATTTATTGAGAAATTTACAATATTGTTTGCAAAATTAAACTGAATAGTGGGAAGGATTGAATGACATGAGGGAAGAATGATAACAAATGAAAAAAAAAAAAAAAACAGAACCAAAACAATTCTGAGTTCAGTGCTCAGGTCAAAACTTAGATTTAATTTGACTCCAGCACTCAAACTTCCTGAAAGAAAGATGGATGCCTCGCTACTTGATCACCTTCCCACACTTGCAATCTTCCCTTGGAGGCATACTCACAATCATGCCCGGAGTGTGGGACAATTTCACAATCAATTTTCCTTTCTGACAGTGACTGTGCATATTTTACAGTTTTACTGTGCATATTGCACAGTGACTTTGCAGAATACATTGTTCTGTAATACCCAGTGGTTTCAACAAAGGAGACACCGGAGTATCCTGCATGTCAACTGCTACCTGTTACCTGAGAAATTCTTGCAGGGCTTTACTGATTCCTGGTCTATTTTAGGTGATTTAATTTCTTTTTTCATTCATTTCATTTTCTTGCTTATAAATTTGTATTTTGTTTACTGGAATCTACTCTATTTTAGCTTGAAAATTTATCATGAAGTTCCAGTAGAAAATAAAAAAAATGGTTCTGTTGAAAGTTGGACTCAATGTGTTACAGCCATCCCTTGTGAACCTTATACTGAAACCTAATCTTGATGATCAATGTCTGTGTTTGCACATGGCAAACCCTACCGGCCCATCCTCAAAACCTTCATGAACAAACCTGATTCCCCAGCTGAATCTTGATCAAAATTTTTCATCATGTCCAACCTTAATTCTGAATCATCTTTTTCTCACTTGCCTCCATGCTCAATCTCCCAACCCACTCTCCACCACTTTTGCTGCTCTTCAGTATGATAGTATCCCTCTTTCCCTCACTCCTATATATCCCTTGCTCTTCTCTCTGTCCCTTACTCATTCCTCACTTGCCCATTCTTCTTTCAATCCTTCCCCTTCTCTTTCTATCCATCTCAACACACTCTTCTCCCAGTAATCACATTGCTCTGTTCAACTACTCATTTTTCTGTTTTGTTCTTGTTGGAATTTTGTCTCTCTCTCTCTCCTCATCCCTAAAAATCCTTTTTGTTTATTCTTATAAGTGATAATGATTAAATAATAGAATACAAATTATCATACAATTGTTGTTAGTTTCTGTGTGGTATCTTGTCCTGTTGTCTAGTGCTGCAATCCTTGTAGTCTTTGAACCCTGGTCTAGTCTTTATCAATAGTCATTTCCTCCAGTCATCTAGTCAAGAATTTGTTGATTTTTGTTATTCATTATGATATTCATTTTTCTCTCAGAACCACAGATTGAACTTGATGTATGTAGTCTATTTAACGCGTAGGCTCTACTAAGCAAATAAAAATCATTGGCTCTTTCTCTCTTTTTCCAATCCTTGAGCCTCTCCAACAAAAACAAGTTTTTGTTGCCCAAAAATTCTCTTGGTCTCCGGTTAAAATTTCTTCAGTTCTTCAAGCTCTGTATTCATTATCTAGTCCTGTTTTATCCTTATATATTGGTTGTTATTCTACTATATTGTATAGCTACACATCATGGTGCATAATTTGTCTTTTGCTTTATCATTCTTATTTCTGGTTGTTTTTCCTTTCAATTCCAGGTTTGATTTCCAGCAAGAAAATCTATAAGGTTGATCAATAGGTTTGTGCAGTGATGATTTTTTTTTTGGTATTGAGCCAAAGCAACATTTTGAGATTGTTTACTTGACCATTCAAAAGTGAGCTGGCTCAACATGAAGGATTCTCTGGTCAAAGAAAAGCGCTCACAATCCTCCTTATTGTTTTCAACTCATCTCTGTACATATTGTATATCTACCCTCTTCAACACCAATTAAGGGTGTTTTATTTGACTTGACTATGCTGTGTCTATCAACAAATCCAGTGAACAGAACAAGTATGTCACCAAAGTAGAAACAACTCAACTGATCTAGTTGTTTGTCCAAAAAGGGCCCTGGTGGCAAACCTTTTTTTAAAACAACTTCTGATGACATTCCAGAATAACTTGGCTCACGTGTGGTAGATGATGCAGGGTAACATGGCAACCCAGTGTTGTATTTTCATTAGCAGAGGCAAAACTAGTAGAGGATGTATGACAATGGCAAAACAGGATGAGAATGAAGGGTGCACTAAACAAGCTGGACAAGCTATATAAAAATTAATATTATGTTGGGTGATCACAATATAGGGCACTTGGGTCTTCAGACCCAACAGGTTCAGGCCCAACAGGAAACACTGGTTGAAGAATCAAAAGATTAGAGAGAAGAAATCTATGTTTTTTGTAAGTTGGAGAGACAGGAGAGGACAAGAAGATGAAATTTGAAAATTAATTATTCAGGAATGATAGCCTCAAAGGAGGAGTTAGCAAGGCTTGCAAACTGATCGTATACATATCGAAGGAGAAGGACCCTGTCCTGAATCTCTACGTGGTCTTGGGCAGGGTTGTGGTTGAAGATTCTCGAAAGGCCTCGGTGGATGTCTGCATAAGTTGCATGGACCCTCGACTCAAGCACAACCCTGTGAGGACGTCTGACGGCTCCAGCTGCCGAGTCATCTGAGCGGGGCCTGCGGAAACGGGCTCTGAATTCAGGAGTCCCGCCGCCTCCTATGTTGGGGTCAATTTGGATTGGCTGGGGTAAGCCTCCTTGGAGCTGTTCTGGCCTGACAGCAGGAAGATTGCCAGGGTTTTGCCCCAGCTCTTGAAAGATATCAAACCGGGCTGGAGAGTCAGCTGGACGTGCCTCAGCTTGTCTGTCGGATGCAGGTTGGTTTTGCTCCGGTTGACCTCCTTGGCGGTCTTCTGGGCTGGGAACAGGAAGATTGTCAGAAGTTTGGTTAGACTGTGTGAAGCCGTCAGGTGGGGGTGTAGATTCAGGAGTGCCTGGCTCATCTTCCTCGTGGTTAGGGACATGTTGGTCTTGGTCTTGTTGGCCTTCTTGAGGTGGATCAGGGCTGGGATCAGGAAGATTGTTTGAAGGAGGATTGGCTTCTTGGAAAGTGTCCGAGCTCACTGGAGGATTGACTGGGCTTGGAGGGCTCTGACTGGGTGTAGTGGTTTCAATTATTGGATTGTGAGCATTTTCTGGTCTCATCTGATGTGGAGATGAACTAGGAGGGGCAGAACCAAGGTGTGGGGCTTCTGGACTTCGCTGCAAAAAAGGTGAATTAGGAGGGGCTGGGGGTCTAAAGGGACTGAGAGAAGCTCCTGAACTGGGTTGATGTGAAGATGTACTGGGAAGGGTACAACCAGAGGGAGGGCCCTCTGGACTGAGCTGCGAAGAAGTTGGATCAGGAGGGGCTTGGGGTCTGAGGGGACTAGGACCAGCTCCTGGACTGCGCTGATGGGGCGATGCACTGGGAGGGGCAGAAGCAGGGGGAGGGTCTTCTGGACTGTGCTGCGAAAAGGGGAGACTTAGAAGGGCCTTGGGGTCTGAGAGGGGCTGCTGGTCTATACTGTGGGGTAGGCGAACTGGGCGGGGATGAGGTAGGAAGGACTTCTGGACGGTGCTGAGATTGAGAGGGCAAGTCGAGAAGAGGTGAAGACTCAGGTCTGGAGAGAGGAGGTTCCTTTTGAGGCGGCATCTCAGGCTGCTTCTGTTTGGCCGGTATTAGGCCCCCAAAGAATTCCGAGTCGAGAGGAAATTCAGAGTCAATCACCCAGGGAGGAGGTGACTTCTGAGGGGGCATCTCAGGCTGCTTCTCTATGGCCGGCGAGAGAGGCCGGAAGTTCGCCAAGTGTGGGGATCGAGAGGGCAAGTCGAGATAAGGTGAAGACTCAGGTATGAAGAGAGGAGGTTCCTTTCGAGGCGGCATCTCAGGCTGCTTCTCTATGGCCGGCGAGGGAGGCCGGAAGTTCGCCAAGTGTGGGGATCGAGAGGGCGAGTTGAGATAAGGTGAAGACTCAGGTATGAAGAGCGGAGGTTCCTTTCGAGGCGGCATCTCAGGCTGCTTCTCTATGGCCGGCGAGGGAGGCCGGAAGTTCGCCAAGTGTGGGGATCGAGAGGGCAAGTCGAGATAAGGTGAAGACTCAGGTATGAAGAGAGGAGGTTCCTTTCGAGGCGGCATCTCAGGCTGCTTCTGTTTGGCCGGTAAGGGAGGCCGGGAGAGCCCAGAGATGGGCCGCGCCGATAGGGCAAAATCAGACGGCCGGGATGACACAAAGGTAGACTGGCGGGTAGGCTGAGTCACGGGCTGCCGGGAGACCACAACGATGGGCTTCCGGGAAGGTCCAGTAACGGGCTGTCTTGAGACTGGCTGCCGGGATGGTCCAGCAACGGGCTGTCTTTGTCTTGGGACTGGCTGCTGGGGAGGAGGGGAAGGCACACGGGGTGGGGCTTGTGTACGCAATAGAGCAGCCTGAGCACGAGTGCGATATCGTGGTCCAGGAGGAGAGGGAGATTTGACTGGGCGAGGCTTTTTGCGGCGGGCTTGAGTCTCCTCTTGCGGGTCCCGCCGGCGCTTTAACTTACTCTGACCTACCAGATCCTCATCACTGGTCTTGATTGTGGGGTCCGAGGAGGTGGTTTCCCCACTCGTCTTGGCTGCAGAGTCCGAGGATGTGGTTTCTTCACTGGTCTTGTCTGCAGAGTCCGAAGATGAGGCGTCTTCGTCTGCGGTAACACTGGAATCATCTGAGGTGACTGGAGGGGGGTGTCAAACACAAGTCAGTATAAGCAAACTTGCACCAGGAAAACGAAACTGTTGGACTCGGGAGAAGACTTACTAAAGGGTTGACACCTTGCTTGCTCTTTGATGCAACGCGTGCAGGACGTGCTTCCAAGCCTGGCTGCTGGGCGGGTGCAGCGCAGGCCGAGGTCGATACAACGGACACAACTTTGATCCATCACGGGTAAGGGTTTCTTAGTTTTTGGTGGTATTTGGGAATGAAGATTGATAAGGGGATTGACGAGTCCCCGGTGCCGGGATGCAATCTTTTATATAGGCGTTAGTTGGCGGCATTTACTTTTCCGGTCCTTGTGCGCAACAAAGAGATGCTTTAACCTTACTCAACCGATTAAAGAAAGCTCACCAGGCATTCGGGCAGCGAGTATTTGGAAAAAAACAAATGCCCATTGCAATTGGGCGTTCTGCTTTTCTCAGGTTGACTAAAACCAGATCCAACGGACTCTTGGGATGTTGCAAGTTCATGGGAAGTCCTCATTGCAAGTTCATGGGCAATGAGTCTACAGTGCAAACTAGAGCTCCTCGAGAGAGCAAAAAGAAGAGAAACACGAGAGAGAGAGAGAGTTGAGACAACCAGGCCAGCAGACCGGAAATAGCTTTTAGTACAGCATGTGGCCAGAGGGCCGGATAGATTAGGAAGATGAAGACCCGAGTGCTTTCGAGCGTCCATCGAGATACACAAAGAAAGATCAAACAGCCAGAGATAATTAGAGACTTTCAGAGGATGGACAAAAGAATGTGGAATTGGAGAGTGATCGAGTGGTGGGATGCTTGCAGGTTCGGTGGCCGTCCCATTAAGGATGCGTCCATGGGTATTTTTGGCAGCGAGTACTCCGAGACATCACAAGAAGTCACTCTCTGATCACCTGCTGTAAGATACCGCCCGAGTCCGACTTTTCCTTGATTGGATGATTTAACAATCACCGATGGCAAATGACTTTTGAAGACCTCATGAGAGCTCTGGAAGGGGACCACTGGGGCCGACGGCTGCCCCATCTCCGCCCACCCACGCCTCACAGAGCCCTTGTACTGATGATCCCAAAAGAGAAAGACATGTGAAGAGGCGACGAAAATCTAGAGGGACCGCCCCAAAATAGACTTGAAGATTTCCAATTTTTCCGAGCAAAGCCAGAGTGATCAAGTAACCCAGACACTCGAACCGTTAATGTATAAGTATTTCCAACTTATTTTTAAATTGTGGCCAGGAATGAAGAGCTATTGAACTGGCATGATTCCTCCATCAGCCGACATGCAGATGACTCTCCCAAGATCCTGGAGGTGTTTCTTTGATGATGTGAAGATAGCCATTTAAGAAAGGACGATATATAAGGCGGAGGAGGAATGAGCCGATTGAACGGAGATGAGCGAGCCAATCAATCCGATGCAAAAAGATCGATTAACAGTGATCACAATGGACGATAATTAGCCTATATTGGTTTCAATCCGGAACGAGCGCAAATAGAGATCTGCGGGCGGGATCACTACATATCATGAGAGACGGAGAGATACTTGTCCGGACAAGTGGACTCTGATCAAGAGAACAGGAGATCGATGCCAGGTTTCCTATGTACACTCTCAAACATTTCCAATCCAAACGTTCAAAAGATTTTTAAGTATGCAATTAAACCAACAAATTCATTCATATAAACTTTAAACTCAAAAAAAAAAAAAAGACAAAGATAAACCAACCTGAACCACCCACCCAACCAAAAAAAAAAAAAAAAAAGAAAGAGAGAGAGAAAAAAAATACATACAGTTGTATCAGGAAAATAAAAATAAAAAGTACATAAATAAAAAAGATAAAGAACGGTTCATTTCTTGTGATTTTTATTATTAGCAACATGAAACGCTAGATTGATCTCATCTGTCCAACGTTGGGCAGCATCAGACTTATCTTCGAACCTAAACCAACAACACTTTTGTTGTTGTTGCTGTTGTTGCTGCTTAGCATTATGAGTATTCTTACTATTATTATTATACTCGATAGGAACCTGAAAATCCCACCAAACGCCAGCCAAAAGAAAAACCTAGCATCAGTTTGTTTTTTTTTGTCCAGTATAGAATGAAAAATGAAAAAAGAGAAAGAAGAAGAAGAAGAAAAGACTCAAAACGGTTTCGATTTTAAAACAACGCGGGTTTTCGATCTCGACTTTCTTGAAGAGCAAGAGTTGATTAGGCAGTAGATGATGTTGATGAGGAGGAGGATGGAGAGGCTCGACAGAGGGAGCTCGGGGCGACGCTAGTTCGGGCTGCTGCGGATGACTGCGAGTAGCGGTGGAGTGACTAGCGGAAGAAGAGTATGTGAGATGCGAGGACGATGAGGCTGCAGAGGGGGTCTTACAATGCCCCTCGGCAAGTCTCTGATGCGCCACTCCCCCTTCTTCCCCTCCATCCCTCGATTCGACCGGACTAGTGATCGTGAACGTGGTCGTAGTAGGACTCGGCAAGGGCTTGAACAACACCTCAAACTTCACCCGAACCTTCGAGCTCTTGCCGTCCTCTTTGACACACAACAGACGCGGAAAATCGGTGAGGATCAGCTGTCGTTTCTTCTTCTTCTTCCCCCTCAAGCTCTCGACCATCTTGCTTGCCGTCGCCGGTTTCCCTGAACTCGTGGTAGTACTGTGACTGTAACTACTACTACTGCCTGGAATCCCCCAAAGCTCATTGACGACCGAGGAATAGATCACTAGCTCGTTCGGTAGATACACTTCTGCCCTATCATTCATTCATGAATTCCATCCGTCTTGAGTTGGCAAACAAGTTCTGCGGGTGGAGTAGGGTGGGAAGAGGGTCTTACCAAGTCATTTCACCACTTGAAGAGTAGACGAAATGGTCCTCCTTAGATTTCCTACGCCCAGCTCCGAGCAACCAAGATTTACGTTTCGAGAGTGCATTACCAAGGGAGGCTTTGGATTCGGGTTGGTGAACGAGATCGACATCGCTATCGACAGGATGGGTGAGGAGGTGCTCATGAGAGTCGAGAAGGGCGAGGCCGAGGCCGGCGGAAGGGGGATGAGGCTCAGGAGGTGGGAATGGAGGGTCAGGGGAGGGAAGAAGCGGGGGATCAGGGGAGAGAAGGTCTTGCTGGAAGAACTCGGGGAGATAGACCGGCCCAGGTTGCGGCTGCTGGTCGAGGCTCTCGGGAGGAGGGGCGGCAGCGACGACGAGGCCCGGATGGAGAACGGGCGGGAGGAGCTCCCAGAGTCGGTCCCAATCGACCGAGTCAAAGAAGGCGTGTGTCTTGATCTCCCCGATTCCCCCGCGCTCCATCGAGGCCCCGATCCGCATCTCGGGTTCTAGCACCAACAGCCGTGAGACCAGATCCTGGCCATCCGAAGGGAATCCCACCGGGAACTCGTACTCTAGATGAGTGATCTTCTGGAAAGTCAGGTATTCACTCCGAGACCGGAAAGGTGGGACGCCCGTGATCATCTGGAATAACACACAACCGAACGCCCACAAATCCGAGCTGCCCGATCATTCCTCTTGATTAGCTTGAGAGTAACACTCATCATGAGATAAATTGGGTTGTCCTGTACCTCTTGCTGGTCACTTTTTGTACTAGTAATTCCGGACTGACGTATTCAGCCGTGCCTACGAACGAATGAGATCGCTCTAGAAGAAGGAAGAAAGAAAGAGTCAATCGGTTTGTAAAAATAAACTGCTTCCTGTGACCTCACCGATCAGGTACTAACTGACCGGAACCTGGTTCTTTACCCGTCGTTGTCACTGTTGATGTAGATGAGGATGGGTGTAAGATCTTGGCGCTTCCGAAATCGGCGATCTTGATCCGCATCTCAGAGTCCAATAGGATACTGAACAAGCGACATAATCATCTCAAGTCAATAATCTTGTGCTAATAAGATGATCGAAGTTGGGTGGACTTACTTTTCAGGTTTGATATCTCGATGAATGACTCCTCTAGAATGCATATGTTCGATCGCAGATAAGATTTGAGCAGCATAAAACCTAGCACAATCTGTTGAAAAAGATCCCAACTAAAAAAAATAAATACACCCAGTTTGGTTTTATTAACAAATCAGCAGTTATTTTCAGATACAGTCTTTCCTCCCGTGGGTTGTTTTTTTTTGCATGAGAGGGAGGATGATAAGAGAGAGAGAGAGGGTTTAGACGAACAGTCTTGATAGATCTTAGGATTTCACCCTTGGGCGCATATTCCAGAAGATAATCTGAGAAGAATGAAGGAATGGAATTGGGATGATGAGATAATTGACGGGAACCAGCGAGAGGATTGGAGTGTGTTCCAATGGGAGTGATGATCATTCGCAGAGATATATAGCTGATAGATAGATCACTTTAAACAGAAAGAGAAATGATGACAAAGGACAGATAGAGATATTGTATAATAAGAAAAGAGGACTGACAGAGTGAGCATTCATCTTGGAAGGTCGAATATAATCGAATACAGCCCGGATGATGGTCGAGTAAGTTCAAAGTATCCCGTTCGATGGCCACATATTTGGTCTTCTTCTCCTTTTGGATATGACGTTTGTCGAGCACTTTGAGTGCATACTCCTTATCGGGTACTTGTTTATCCTTAACATGATAGACCGTTGAATAAGATCCTTCTCCCAAGATATCCCCGACCTTCAGAAAGAAAAAACAAATTGTTAAGTGATAATAAATTCTTTCAATAGGAATTATGGACTGACAATGAAATCTTTGATTCCCTTTCGTGCTGAGTTGATGTTGGTACTCGAGGTAGAGGGATTACGAGGGAGTTCAGGACGGGGTAAGTTTTTTTGCTGTTCGATTATTGTTGTTTGAGTTGAGGTTGATGATGGAGGCTGATGGATGGACAGGTTTTGGAGTGGTTGTATGAGCTGATCGTTGATATTAGTGATCATGAGTTGGTCGATATTGGATGGTGAGTTTGAGGTGTTGGTTGTTGTTGTTGTTGTTGTTGTGGTGGTGGTGGTGGTGGTTGTGAGTCTGGTGGGTATTCTGAATGGGACTGCCTGTACGCTTGATGTGCTCCTAGCTGAGCTTGCCCTACTGACGGATGATGATGGGTTTGAGTAATGTTCTGGTGCTGAGAGTGAGCTTGCTGAGAGTGGTTGTTCTTGGGTGTTGCTGTTGCTGCTGTTGTTGCTGTTGTTGTTGATGGGCTGTAGACTGTGTAGTGTTGGTCTGGTGTTGTTGTTGTTGAGTGTGGTGAGTGGTCTGATGTTTTGGTTGTTGTTCATCCTGGAAGTGTTGAGTGCTGTGTCGGACTAGTTAGCTGTGGCCAGCAGCATTAGGAGAGCAGAGTTACACTTATCGCTTTCCCCTCCCCCCGGGGGAGTTCATCATCATCAACTCTCTTCATCCGATCTTCAAACTCATCCGGATCAACATCAAGCTTGTGTATATCCGTCAAAGAATCCTCATCGATTCTCCCCCAACTTAACTTGTTGTTTGCGACTCCAACTTCAGCCTCGATCACTCTCCCCAACTTTCCAAAACCCACCATCAACACAGCTACCCCTAGTAACAAATGACATCATGACTCATACCATACTTGATCCATCTATCCAAGGCCATCCATCATCTTCAATTCTGTATAAAAAAACCAATGGAATTTAAACATGAATAGTAAATATTCCTTACATAATTTTAGACCTCATTTACCAGCTATGTTTGGTTGAAATCCCTCCAATTTATAAACTAAAGACCAGATTGGATTAGATGTATGAATCTTTGACCAAGATAGACCATGTGAATTTAGATGAGATGAATAAGCTTGAGTTCCTGTTGACCAGTGCTTAGAATTGATGATCAGTGTTAATGCTGTGAATATTGATGGAAAGATTACAGATCAGCATGGAGAAATGCAGGACAACAAGTGACAATGATTTGAAGAAGAAAAAAAATAAGAAAAAAATCCAGCTCAAAATGATCCAAGGAAGACTCACCTGATCCGGATCAAGTTGAGGATAAATATGGATTCATAAAAACTTGTATCAGCAAGGATTGGAGTACAGTGGTGGACACCATATTACTGTAACAGATTTTACAGTGTCCCAATGACATAACATATTTTACAGTTGGAAAAGTTCTGTTGGGGATAGAGGGAAATTAGGATGAGGGGGGGGGGGAGCCTTCTGATATTTTTGAGAAAATTGACTGGTGACAATTGAAATCGGTCAATTCGGAACCGTTGCCCTCAAGAATTCCAATGAATCAAACCCAAAAGCTCAATTGATGCGGTCAAGAATAAGGCTTCAAGAGCACAGACAAAGCACCACAAAATCATAAACAACACATTATATATGTGTTTATATTTCTATTTGCATGCATGTCTATGCACTAAAGCCTTCCTGGAAGCCCATATCTATCCACACAGTTTTATATATCCACTTAGCCACCAGTATAAGCAGCACTTGTCCCAAATAATGATTTCAAAAAAAGAAAAAAAAAAGAGAATGGCTGGTCCATTGGACAAATTGAATAATATTTAAAATCTAAAACTTCCAAAGAGTCCAAAAAAGAGACTTTTGGGAAAATTTTGGGCTCCTCTGCTCAATGAACATTCACTCTGCATGGTCAACTTTCCTTTTGCCGTGTGGTTGTTACAGTAATATGATGTCAACCACTGCACATAAAAGCATGAATTAAAAAAAAAACATCTTTGACTAGTCTCTGAACTGTCCACACTTAATATGCACTTCAGCTGCATGTGGGAATGGAAGACTTGATGGCTAAGCTTGATAATGCTCAACCAGAAGACAGGGAGAGAGGGATTTTATTTTTTTTTAGAATCAGATTTGGGTCACTCAGAATAGGGAAAACTATCTACATGTTAGAATGGAAGACTTGATGGCTAGGCTTGATAATGCTAAACCAGAAGACAGGGAGAGAGGAATTTTTATTTTTTCTAGAATCAGATTTGGGTCACTCAGAATAGGGAAAACAATTTACATGTTATTATAACAAATCAAAAAGACAGCATGGACTTGACTGTTTAACTTGACAATAATCTTGCCTAGAGTGTGAGAGCTCATGCCCAACGGACATCAAAAGAGGGTTTTTGTTTATTGAAATGGATGGATTTTTGTAACCAATCGGGATCTATTAGAGGACCCTGACAATGCCTAGGATGAGTGATAGTGGGGACCAGGGGCTGCTGTTGAAACTAGTCGAAATGTTGGCAAAATCTGTGTCTAGGGCACCTCCATTGAACTTGATTTTTTTTTTTTTGGCTCTGATTATGAATACCTTTTCAAGAGCACAGCTCAGGTCAAATTCCACCAAACATAAAGGGGGAAAACCACCGGTCATTACATGTGCGGTCTGAGGGAAAATTGCATGATGTTCTTGGCTTGTCTAGCCTGATTCTACACACCCAATATGCGCTCTTTCATGAGTGCCAATTGGGAAAAAATGAGCAATTGATACCCATTTCCAGAGTGTATGATTTTGGCCCTTTTTCCTATCTCACATGCCTTAATTCTCAACACATTCCCCTCCTTTCTGGGGCCCCTCTACTAAAGGCTCTGATGGATATGATTCCTGGAGGGGTTGAGCCAGTCTGTATCTTATGTTACCTCTGCTTCAATAGGGATACGTGCAACAGATCACTTGAGAAGCAAATTGTTCAAGTTTGAACTGCTTTTTTTTTAGTTGGTTTCTCTTCCTTGGGCGCATGTGCTTTTTGGGGGCTACTTGGTTTACAATTAGAACAAAGCCACAAGCGACCCTATTATGCCGACGCCAAAAGAAGAGAGTCGTTGGTTTGACTTACATAAATACATAGGAGATGGAGGCAACAAAACAATGGGTATGGATGTTCTCGGTAAATAGATGGCTCTATGCGGCCTTTCAATCAAGCACCAACGCGACCTCACGCGACATTACTAAAAAAAAAACCGCGCCAAAGATTATGTACCTTCTGGAAGGACGCATAATGTTTTCATCAAACAAAACAAAACAAAAACGTGCAATTGGTGAAGCGGTTTGCAAGAGTGCATTGCCTCTGCATTGCATACATAGTGTTTTTTTTTGTTTGAATCGAAAGAGGCGAGAGGTCGGTTGCAGTCATTTAGGGTAGTGATGTTTGGTCTGGTTAAAGTATCTGGTGGAGAAGAAGAAGAAGAAGAAGCAATCGGTTAGAGATCGTTATAATAACATTCCATCCGATTCGATCTGTCAACTGACGTGGAATGCACGCGCGAGCTGTCGTGAGATGACTAGAGCGAAAATGAAAGGCGAAGTTGAAGGTATTTTTTATAAGCTATAACTAGAGAGAGAGAGAGAGAGAGAGTCACCAGAATCTACATATTTTATTTACATGGAGTCGGTCAGTCCCACATACCCAGGATGGAAGGGCATAATTCTAGCGGGCTCTATAGAGCACCAGATGGTGGTTGTTTTTTGACCATCTGATGTGGAATGTGGCAGTGGATTGTGATGGAGAGGATTATGTATGAGATGGCTAGAGCGGAGGGCAAGCCAACGGATGGTATGATGGCTGCAGCAGCGAGTAGAGGCCGATCATATTTTTGTATGGAATGCACGCTGGTGTCGAGCGTGTTGTCGTGAGATGACTATAATTTTTTAGAGTACATCGCGAACCGAAAGGCGAAGTAGAGCCATCTAGACTAATTATTTCTGGCTGGCCAGGTGCATACAAATTCTTCTGGAAAGGCTAGCTAGCTACTCTAGCAGCTGCCATGGACCATCAGTTGATACCAGCTCTGGGCTCTTCTGCATATCGGGTAATATTTCGTGTGCTTGACTACTACACTCACTTCCACTCAAGTACGTGTTCAGGAAGAAGGCACTCTTCTGCTGCTGCATGCCCTCAACACGACTGATCCAACCATCCTACTTATACCGACTGCTTTGGCTCGGCCTCTGAACTCAGCCAACTCACCTTCCTGATCTTCGCCATCACTTTAAAACCAACTACAAACATTTCTTTTTTTTTCGTTTTGCCTTATATATTCTCCTACTAGCCAAAACACAGCGCACCTTCTTCTGATCACCAAGCTTTCCCTTTGATATACTATCATCTTGACGTTGAATACCACAATCTTTACCTAACCCGGGTCCACATAAGCATCCTTAATTCTTATATTTATTTTCTTTTTGGATTGGAACATGTCCCATTCTAACGGTCTCGCGCTAGGAGAGAGTACCTCGCCAGTCAATGTCTGGGCTGACCCGAGAGCCGGCACATTATCTTTCGAGAGTACGCCGGGCGGCGCAACGATGCCGGGGGTGGATGACTTCGAGCTGGCATCCTACTGTGCTGGCTTCGATGGCCATCCTGGTGAGCCTTGAGAGCTGCCATCCATGCTTCTTCCTTCCATTGATTACCAGCAACTGATCTTCTGATGTACTCTCCTTGAGGGAAAAAGGCCCCCACGAAGTCATCCTCCCTCTTCAGGATGACCCAAACCAGATCATGCACCCCAGCCTCTATTCCCTTCAAATGACTTTTCCCCAGGACCACTCTTACAAACCGCTTCATGAGAGCACCACCTTCAATTTCGAAGAAGGCGCCATTGGCACCTATCCTCTTCACAAGGTCTGTTGTACTTGCTATCTCTCGACCCCATAGATTGTTCAACTCGACTGACCACATATATATATATATAGTCCAACGAGACGTCCCCCAATTTCCTGTTGTCCACCACCATTGGCTACGAGGCATCCCCGTCCCCCTTATCATCACGCCCATGCACGGCAGGCTATGAAGGAGAGGAGATGGGTTTTTCACCCTCTGCCCCGGTGGAGCTCTCCTCTCATGGCTGTAGCTTCGGAGCCACCGATGGTTTCTCATTCTATTCCGACTTCGATCAGCCTGGCTTCGATTGGAATCCGTCCCCCAAGTCCAACCCACAAGCCCACCAGATAGTCGACAGCTCTCCCCTCCAATACATCTCCACATCCCTCATTCCGCCACCCTCTGCTGATGGATTACTCGGACCACAGGATCAGGGGGGCGCCAACACCCTGATCGAGCCACTGCCGGACTTCAAGTTTCAAGCCGGTCCAACCACCGCAGCGCACTCGATCATCCCCCACGAGATATCAGAGCCATATCCATGGTCGAGTGCTGCTGCTCTATCGCATCCTCCCCGACCGAGGATAGATGGCGGGTTCCCACACAGTGAAGTGTTCACGACGAGATGCGTCCAACCTACCAGTCTGATGTGCCCTCAATCGGTTAGCGGGAAGCCGAAAGACGCAGGCCTGGAGTCGAGCCAGTCTTCGACCTATGGAAAGGCCTCCTTCTTGCCCGGGAATTGGGAGTCGCAAGGGATCTTCGCCGCCGAGAGCGTCGACGACTCCCCTCAACCAAGCAGAAGACTTGCCGCGATCAAGCAGCCATCTACCAGACGCAAAACTTCTGTCAAGGAGCCCCTAACAGCTGCCGGTAACACTGCTCCGAACGGCTCCAAAAGAGCCGTCCAAGCGCTCTCCCGCGCCGCCGATGATCCCCCCGATCCTCAGGATCCCGCCAAACATTCCACCCCATCATCCGCGCTCAATAAGACCCCCGATGGCAAATTCGTCTGTTGTCGAATCTCCAAAGATACCCAAGCTACTTGCGGTAGAAAGTTCCAACGATCTGAACATCTGAAGAGACATTGGGCCACTCACGACGAGCTCAAACCATTCCAATGTCACATCTGTGAACGATTTTTCGGCAGAACCGAGTATGTCAACTTTTTTTTTCTCGCCCCTTCCCTAGAAAATAAAAATAAAAAACCGCTTTTCTACATAGAAGTTGAACTGATCCGATTAAAAAAACGAAAAATCTTCTGATCAGTAATCTGACCCAACACGTCAAAACACACGCCAATGCGCATGGAAGAAACACCAAGTTACTGAAAGCCAAGATGCTCCAAGAGGCCGAAGAAAGCAAGGGACTTCGGAAGCTCGAGCACAAGCCGACGGCGTACTACAGTCGATCAACCAGACGCAGAAAACTTCAATCAGCCTCTTGAACCGTCCCTCTTTCCCCCACTCTACCTTTTTCGACCTAACTCTGGCCCCCCTTCCCAAATTCAATAATAATAATCATTCAAAAATATCGACTGGTTTGAGTTGATTCCTTCTCTCTACATTTCAAAAAAAAAAAAAAAAAAAAACTAAAATTGTTGTATCCAAATCAAATTGAGGAGCTTCAAGTTGTAATCAATCCTGACTTTATCTGTTTATGTTGTGAAGAAAAAAGAAAAATAAAACAGTCTTATATGACTTTGATTGCATTCAACTTTCCCATCCTTCTAATTCTTCTTCTCTGGTTCCAAACCCTTGGAGCCCTAAAATACATGTGATCCCGGATTACTTAAGGATCTGTTGTTGGGATAATCAGTGCATATGCACTACGGTTGTACTCATGCCAGATCATTTCTTTTTTTTAATGTTGTTCTTCAGTATATAATTCTCCCATAAAAAAATACATGATCATCATTGTTGAAATCTATGAAAAAAAATTACATTGCAAAAAAAACTTTTGTAATTGTTGGAATGAAAGAAACCTTCAAATCCAATCTTTTGGGTGTTTTTTTTTTTGTAAATATATCAGTGATTTCTGAGCACACATAACCCCCCAAAAGCTGATCTCAAACTGCACAAACATATCACCTGGTGAGGTCTCAATTCTTGCCAATGGAAGTATGTAGTAAGGTAAATGATAAACATCATATATATGTGTTTACGTACCATGGCCAGTGCACTTTGGTCAAGTCCTGACTCTCAGTAATGTGCAGTTCTGCAAAATAAAATACCACATGCATCTAATTGAGCAGAGATCGTCCACCACGATAAATTCACTGAACCAGGCTCTGGTTGACAGGATCAAGGACACTGATGCCCTTCTCAAAGAGCCACCATGGTACATCTTTTGGGGCAGATTAAACAGATATTTACATGTTCCAAGGGATATGGCTCACATTCTCTTCATCGCAGCATCCGTAAACCCTATGCTTCGACTCAAACCACTTTTTTTTTCAAGCGTTTTTACAAAGCTCCCCAAGAAGATGGATTCAATCAAAAATTGGAAATCAATTGAATCTGATGTACATATTTGGAAGTGCTTATTTGAATGTAACAGATAGTCTCACGTGATTTGAAGCTTGCAGATGCTTTTGTTTTTAGTGTTAAGAGGCATGCGGAAAGTTTCATTCAGGGACTGCTATTTCAAGATGCAAAGATTGCCCTTATAATGGAGGACTTCCAGTGACAATTTATAATACTTTTTAGACCTCTCCCAGTCCTAAATTAACAACACGATTAAGATTCTAACCAGCTCACATGAGAGCTCTTGCCAGAAGGCTCCAGAAAAAAAATCTGACGAAAAAAATAGAGCTACGGGGTGTAAATTGACTTCTGGGAGGATTGTAGAATGAAATGGGAAGTCATTCAGTGGTGTCAGCAGTGTAGAAGCACTGCCAAAGTGATTGTATCAGATTGCTACATCTGGCATTACATCAGATAAAAATACCTGATATTACATCAGGAAAAACTGGGGTTGTATCTACCAGAATTGATATTATATCTACCTAAAATGATATTGTGTCTATCATGAAAGATATTGCATCAGACCAGCCTATTCAATGCCAGCATAACTGAATTCATATCAGATTTTTCTATCTGATTTAATGCCCATGGGCTAAAAATTTGTATTGGATGTAAAAATCTGATATAAAATCAGTTATTTTGACCTTAAATAGGTTGGGCTGATGCAATATCTGTTATGATAGATATAACATAATTCTAGGTAGATATAATATCACTCCTGATAGATATAATACCAGTTTTGCCTGATGTAAAATCAGATTTTTCGTCTGATGTAATGCCAGATGTGGCAATCTGATATAATCACATTTGCAGTGAAGATTGGAGTCTTAATCTGAATATGTAGTCTCATCTGGGGACAATCCTTCAACTTCCTCTCACTTATATATGTTAGAGAGAACACATCTTTTTATTGGATTTCATCAAAAACATAGACTCCTATTATTCTACCTTGATTCTCATCTTACAACATTCAAACTTAGTTATACATGAAAACAGTCAGGGGGTTTTTGTTGCCTTTCTTTTTTTAACAAAAACCAGACCTGAAGGGGGGGAAGGGGGAATCAGAAATTGTGATGAAATAGTTGAGCACTTCATAAGAGAGTGCTGTTCTACTCAATTGCTGAATGCTTCTACTTGCATTCTTTCAATTTTTTTTTTTTACATTTAAGCTTTATATGATCAGTTTGAAGCTGCCCATCTGAGAAATCGATGCAAGAGGTTGAAAGGGGGGGTCGATTGATCGGTGACATCCGATGCGTGACTGATGGCCTGTCACGTCATTCAGGCCGATGACATCTTCCAAGCCAATCAGTCCCTTCGGCCAACGTCATCAAATCCCCACAACACCGATCTTCGAGCTTCCTTGGACAATCGGATCACTTCATCTATCCATACCAGCACAAGAAGAAGCAAAAAAAAGTGAAGGATCATGGAGTGCTCGTTTGGAATCACTGGTAAGCAAATCTCTCTCTCTCTCTTTTCTCGAGCCATCATTTCTCTGTCCTGAGTTCTGAGGGCTGATCTCCACTGTTTTGTGTTTGCATAGGAAAGGACTACGTGATCTTGTTCGGCATTCTTCAAACGTATTGATCCTGTGACTTGAACTGACCGGCCGATGGGATATTTGTTCTTCTTTACATTACACACCAAAAACAAAAAAAAACCCCTCACTTGATCGAGCAGTGCATCCGATTCGTCGGCCAATCGAAGCATAGTCAGGATGAAGGCCAACGCAGACAAGCAGAAGGTCGTCTCGAAACATGTCGTGATGGCGTACTCTGGAGAGCCAGGTGGGATCCGAAACTCCTCTTCCTCCAGTCGGATGATCTTGCAAAGTCACTGAACGTTCCTTGCCGCTTCGGTTGTTGGAGCAACGTTTTGTTTTCAGGTGATACCGTCCAATTTGCCGAGTATGTGGAACGTAACTTGCGCCTGTATGGTATTAGGTGAGTGAGAGATCCCCTAACGACCGTCAGACAGGCCATTAATCATGTTAATGGGGAACAGGAATCATGTCGATCTTTTACCTCACGAGGCCGCCTCCTGGACTCGCAACCAGCTAGCCTCTTCGCTGCGGTCCCGGAACGCCTACTCGGTGAACCTGCTCCTGGGCGGCTTCGACACTGCCGAGGCGGTGCCGTTACTCTACTGGATCGACTATCTGGGCACGATGGCCCAGGTGCCTTATGCCGCCCACGGCTATGGGGCTTATTTCTGTCTCAGTACGATGGATCGCTTCCATCGTCCCGATATGGACCTCCAACAGGGCTTGGAATTGCTCAAACGATGCATCGATGAACTCAGCACTCGATTTATCGTCAACTTGGGTAGTAAGTCGTTCTCTCCTTCCTGCCACAATCATCCTCAATTATCACCTCTGGAAACTTGACTAATCTTTGTTGATTCGAATTCGATAGCCTTCAAGGTACGCGTTGCTGACAAAGATGGGGTCAGAGAAGTCACATTATAGCCTGTACAATCTCCAAGAATGTCCTAAATACAAGATTCTCAAATTTGTGTTATTCATATCAAAAATTTTTGGCTGGTTGAACTTGTGATCGCAAAACTTTGGAGCCAGCGATTTGCACAACTTGTCCCGCTCAGCCAACGCTGCTGTAGAATTTTTTTTTTTAAGACTCATCTTAAGTCTTCTTGATTGACCGTTGGAATTGGTCTTAAACGAGTTAGTTGCGGAGCGTTCAGGGACTTGAAGTTCGGCTCATTACTGTCTCACTGGCGTGCAGACTCCGCGTGTATACTAAATGCATAAGAAGTATATATTTGTTGTGATAGCAAAGGGTTCTCCATCGTGACTGAACTTGCGGGTTTCTCTTGAGAGTGCTGAGCAGAGGTGTGATGAGAATCGCAAACTCTTATTGGACCCAACATTGATTGGCTTTTACGGATAAAGAAGGGCTTTCATGTTGAAGGCAAATATGTAGAGAAAGCTTTTAGCCATCCTGGATGTCCCCGAGACATCGGATAGCGTACCCGACCTGTCCGGAGCTGTTCGGAGCAGGACGATGACGGTCCGGAGAAGAACGCGCGGATCCTCAGCTCCAGCCGAGAATCTCTCGAGTCTCTCGGATACCTACAATGTAGCAACACCTGCACCAAAAAAAACCCACAACCATCTTCCACCACCACCGATTTCCTTGCTCGTCTTTTGCGTCGACACCACCACCACCAACCGCTTTCGTTCACACCAGCCTTCACCCCGCCGCCCAACACTGACATACTACTCAAACAGGATGATCGGTAACTTCATCAACATCGTCCTGCCCGTCGCTGGGCTCTTGGGCTTCTCCACTTCGAGCTTCGTCAGTCTTGTTCATCATCGATCATTCTCTTCATATATCCTGATTCGAAACTAAACACACCAATAACGAAACTGATGTCTTGAATGTATTTACATGTTTCTGATTTGGCTTTCGGGGATTTTTTTTCTTGTGTGGACAATGGAATACAAATGCTTAATGAAACAACCCCCCTCCCCCCCCCGATTTCTGGAAGCTGTAACCAGGTCCATTACGCCGTCGATGCCGTCCTGGTCAGTGTGTGTCTTTCGGGGATCAAGCGAAGCACGGGTCTCTCGTGAGTCTGTCGTCCATTGCATCCTCGTGAGAGAGAGAGAGAGCCTCTCGCTCATCAAACTCATGCCCGAGTCTTGTTCTTCCCTCAGTCCGGCAGTCTCCAAGATCCAAAACAAAGAGATCCGGCAAGTCGTCGTCAGTTACCTCGACGTAGGAGGTCAGTCTTGTCCCCCCCCCCCCCCCCCTGTTTTTCTTTTTCCGCACCCCCTCATCCGTTTCTCTACTTCCGACCTTGACTCAATCACTCTTCGTTTCATCATGTTCGCGTCGCCATAGAATGGATCATGGACTTCGTAATCGTCGTAAGCTTTTTCTTGTTTAATCCCAAAAGCAGTTTTGAATGTGGTGTGAAAAGCTATCTCCCACTAATAATCTTTGTCCTTTTCCATAAAAACAAAAACAAAATCGTAGTTCTTGGGTAGATCGAGTCACTTCGAACGTCGTTAATCGGCGCCAAATCTCTTCCTCAGTTTAAACCAGCTCCTTTTTTGAATCGTCACATAGATCCCTAATTTAGCCTTTGTACTCGTTTTTGTAATACCATTATGGCTTTTGGATCAATCCTACCTACCCAGCCAATCCAGTCTTTTTTTTTCTTTTCTTTGGAGCTGTAAGCTTGTAACTCGTCAAGTCTTGGTTGAGCAGATTAGGTTTAGTAATCTACGATACCATCATTGAAAACCTTTATCTTCTCTTGTGCCTCCGTCTCAATGGTCCGGAATCACTTCGGCATAAGCGGTAAACTGAGAATGTAAGCCGAAGCATAAGGCTACCGCAACCCAATGGGATTTTTGGAGGGGTAGTTCTTGATGACACAGATGAACGCGAGAACGATTCAATTCAGCAGCTGGACTTAAAAACCACAAAAAGACTTTTTTTTTTCGTTAAAAATAAGTACAAGTTTACAATCATTACGTTGGCGAAAAACAAAAACAGCAGAAGAAGCATGCGCAGTTGAACGCCCACCAAAAAAAAAAAGGTGTTGGTCATACTGTGTCATCAGTCGTTGAAGTTTCGATGATTTTAGGTGGTTTGGGAGCAAGATCTGAGGGGTGAGTATTGTTCGAAAGCAAGAGATTAGAGAACGGGGGCTGATTTGGAAGCAGCTGAGTATTGACGTCTGATTTGAGATCAGAGTCGAGGAGATCGTGATCCTGGTCGACTTCTTGAGGAAATCGTTCGAGCCGGCTGGGCTCCATCGAAAAGGAGATGAAGAAGAGCAGCTTCTTGAGGACGGATGTCCGGCTGACGTTCATGTAAATGTTTCGCCAATCATGATGGGTGTTCAAGAAATGGTATAGATCCGAGAGCGCCAAGGCACACCGAGGCGAGTTGTTCTTGGGGGCCGTTTCTTCCTTGTCCGACGCCTCCATTTCAATGATCAACTTGTTCTTGGATTTCGAGGGAGAAGCGGGGAATAAGGATCTCAGATCTTGGAGTAAGAACCGGATCGACTCGGCCTCCATCCTCGGCAGGTTCTTCAGATATTCACCGAAACATTCCGCAATCGACTCCAGTCGCAACTCGGTCTGGAATAATATCGGGAAAAAATGAGGCACGTCGGGCGGGAGAGCGGCACGATCTTCGTCCTTCGCTTCGCAGAGGCTTCGGAGTCCATAATAGCGGAGTAGAGACACGTATCCAAGCCTGCAAATCGTATAACCTTAGTTCAGCGCATAAACCAAAAAAAGGGGAAAAAAAAAGAAAGCTCTGCTAATAAAACAAGAAGCTTGGTCCTGTGTTGGGGGATGGAAATACTCAACGTCAAGGAGAAGAGATGATAAAACAAGTGCGGATTGAGTCGATCGGGTAAAGCAGGCAAGAGTGACTGATGGACGAGATGGATTTTGGAGGACGGTGGATTGGATTCTGGGAGCGCTGTTTGCCGCTCGATCCACCACGGATCCTCGCATTGAGCGTTGATGGTGGCTTGGATGAAGGCGGGGTCGAGCTCGCCAGTGGCCACTTTCCGATCGAATTCCGCGATCTGGTCTTGCGTCAAAAACCCCAATAGTTCGTCCTTTGAAAGTCTGTCTTTATGTCAGAAAGAAAGAAAGAAAGAAAGAAAGAAAGAAAGAAAGAAAGAAAGAAAGAAAGAAAGAAAGAAAGAAAGAAAGAAAGAAAGAAAGAAAGAAAGAAAGAAAGAAAGAAAGAAAGAAAGAAAGAAAGAAAGAAAGAAAGAAAGAAAGAAAGAAAGAAAGAAAGAAAGAAAGAAAGAAAGAAAGAAAAGAGAAAGCATAATCAGGATGGATGGTCGTATGTTGGGATGATGAAGCTCTTCTTACTGACTCAGTTGTTCTTCGGTGAGCTCGACAGATCCAGCATCAGTGCTATCCTCATCCTCGTCCGAGACCGGTTGGCCGGATTCGATTTTCCTCAAGATCTCGAGCATCGCCGTTGCTTGAGAAGATTGAGGCCGACCGTTGGACGATCCATCTTCAAGCTGAAAATCTTCCAACAATGCGTTTTTGTAAAAAGATTCGGAACAGGCTGAGTGGGACTAGAATCGTAGGAATTGGTCAGTTCCCAAGATTGTTGAAATAAGGAGATTATTGTCTGGGAGATAGCTTACTTGGGATTTGAAGCAGTCAACACTGCAGTACCTGAGGTTACAACTCGGGCAAGTATATTTCGCAAACTTTTCTTGACAACTTGAATTCCAACTCGTCAATAGATGTTCACTGAGAGTATTCTTCAGGGGGGGAGATGAGTGATAGCTTACATGAAGCATCTGATGGTGTCCTGGTTCGCTTGGTTGATTCGCCTCCGTCGTTTCCCGGCTGGTCTGAGTGGTTGTAGTAGTGGTGAGTCCATGATCGTCTTCGACTTTCTTCTTCTTGGGAAACTTTCTCTCCCAAACATCCCTCGCCCCGCAGCAGAGTCGAAGTAAGTAGGCCCCCCCTGGAAACCAAGACTGGGCCCAACCAAGCAAATAGCAATCCAGTCCCCAATGCTCCTTGGGGGTCAGCAGCAGCATCAATCAGAATTGGGATGTCGTGCTCATCAGTCTAACATAGATGAAGCATATCGCACTTTTCTGCAATGGTCCCCCAAGCTTACAAATTGTCCAAGACTGACACTTGATTTGAACACTTTGGACCTTCATTGTGTTTTGCTATCAGCTGGGAATATTCTGATCTTGTTTGAATAGCATGCTCTGATTCCCAATTTGTGCTATAATTAGAATGTAAGGATTGAACCCAGAGATCACCTTGTGGAATCTTAAGCTCGAGGCCATATCGATTTCAGCGAAGCAGTCTGGTTGGTGGCAGAAGTTAGCTTTGGATGTCTTGATAATTCGTAATCCTCTGTCGGTGTCCATTTGGATACAAGACACAGTGACAGGGCCGGAGCGGATACACACAAGAACCCAGAGAAAGGTGTGATTATTGGTAGGGTCTAATCTATCTTGTTTATCATCCAAATCCCTTTTGTTCCCCACAGATGCGTATGTATTACCCACATGGGCCACATCTGGATTCTACATCTCGTTTTCGAGATTTGCAAGGATTTGGACTCTGGAGATATGTAGCTGGAGATCAAGGGTAGATCACAAGATGTATCAGCATGCAGACTCAGCGGCCATTGTGGATGTTAATGTTACGATGGCATTGTATGCCAAACAACAACAAATCACAAAGGCCAAGTGCTTTGTTATAGCTTGGTGGATGGACTTCCGAGCAAGTGTTACCACTGGATCCTCTATTGCTTGATAACAATAACCAGCCAAGATGGCAGCCAACCAAGAGCAAGAAGACGAGATAGTCGTGCTATTTGAACAAAGGTCGACACAGAAGATGAGGGCCCCTCTGATCCGGCTAGTCTCCCCGGAAATCAGCCTGGTCTCCAGCCGAGCCACCCAGGAAATTCAGCAGCTGACCGACGCCAAGCCCGTCAAGCAACTCGCCATCACCGTTGCGATCAAAAAGTTGGACTTGCATCTTCAAACCGTCTCCCCCTCCACCGCTTCAAGATCGCGAACTGGATCTTGGAGGCCAGATTCCAACGCGCAGTAAGTTCGCGTTGTGCTCTTACTCTAGATAGAAGCCTGGGATTCCCAATCAATAACGGACTTGCTCTTATCCAGACGTTTGATTCTGAAACTCGATTCAGTGGAAGGACTCCAGTTCCAAGGTCTTGTTGACCTTACCTTTTTTCTTGTTGCTTCATTATATGACCGTATCAGTATGCGCATCAATTGATGTTTTTTGTGGTTGTTGTTGTTGTTTAGGTTTGCAATCTTTGCCGGGCTTTCTCCACAAGTCTATCCAGCCCAGCCAATTGATTGAAGTTGCAGTTGAGTCACTAAAACTCCTAGTTCCATTGTCAATCTGAAACATTAAGAAATACTTTCATTGATTTTTCTGTTTTCGACTCCATGAACTATTTGCAGGTGACAAAGATATCTCGCCCAGCTGGTTCCTCAAGAGTTAGCAGCCAGCATAATAGTGAAAGAGATACGGCAGTCGTTGAAGCGTACGAGTTGAAGATAATCTACAGGCTCCAGGAACGCAAGGCTGTCAAGATCGGGTCGAATGGTCGAACCAATCAACGTTGCAAAATCGAAGACCGCGGATCAAGGAACGGCTCGCACTCGAAAGCAACCAAGATAGCAGACCACGAAGATGTGATTTTGATTTCCTCGGATGAAGACGAAGGCCCACAATCGGCGGCGAGAAACAAGAAGGCCGGCTGTCTAGGAAATCGGAAAGACTCAGACGAGGATATCAAGATGAAGGCCGATGATGTGAAGCCAGATTCGGATGAGAGATCAAGCCCTACTTCGGCCCAAACCTCATACGAATTGAGCTGTTGTTTGAATTTGAATGGATTCGATCCTTCCGAAGAGACCAAAGGTCTTCAGCATCTCCTCAATTATTCCGACCTCAGCCCAGTGAAGCCCACGCCGACCGACAGTCTATCTGATGCGGATGATGAGCAGACTGACTTGGACGAAACTATCAAACGATTCAAAAACTGCACTCAACTTATAGCTTTCCTGAAAAAAGACGAAAGATTAATTGGTCTGAGGCTCGATCTTGAGAGACCTCAAACTTCATCCCCAGCGCCTCGGGTCGAGCAGAACAATCCTAATGATGGCGACGCGACTCCTCTTATCTCTGGAGATGAAATATTGAACGGTCCGAAGGCCGATTTGGAGACTCGCCAAACCGAATCTCCGCCGCTTCCAGTCGAACATAGCAATGATACTCCAACTGCTCTTATCTCTGGACCGCCAGCTTTCGACCGTGAGAGTCAGAATGCCGAAAACATTAGTAAGGACGGCCTTGGCAAGGAAGATCCAGCCCCAACTCTAGAAGATAATGGCGGCGATAGGAATGATAGCGCGATGGAGTTTGAAATGATGAACCGTAAGAAATTCTCTGACAATCTTCCACTCTTCCGCTGCCTTACTGATTTGATGATTACAATTTCTTCTTTCTGCGGGGAACGTCGATGGATGGCCGGAATAATTCAAAAGTCGATGATAGTGTGAACAGGGTTGGCGAGCAAGAAGGGAGCGACGAGAGAACAAGAGATAATACGACGCCGACCGACGAGCCTGATTCCGGGATAAATACGAATACGAGTCATGCTCCGAGCCAGTCAATTGTTGCCGATGAGAATGGAGAACAAGATGGGCCGGATGATACCGATGATCGGAACGAGCAAGTCCAAACGGATCTCTCACAATCAGACCGAATGGACGTTGACGAGTTCAATCGCGGCGACAACCCCTCTCCTGATTGTGGTGCTACTGCTAGCCCTAATGACCCAAAGACAATTAGCAGTATCGCCGGGTTGAGAGATAGCCAGAGCAATAACCCCGATGATAGCGGAAGCGAGAGCGATGACGCAAGCTTAGATTTCATGAACTTTTTGTTTGAAGAATCGACGACCCCGCCGTTCGAAGAGCTCGATCGCGATCCTACCAGCAATCGGAATACTTCTTCTGACCACGATCTCTTCCAGCCATTCGACCCGGTCACGATCCCCTCAACCGCGCCGCCCCAGCCGCCGATAACAGAGGGAAATAATCCTTCTCTGGCCAGCATCACCGATCCCGCTCCTGAACAAGAGCAAACGGAGCTGGAACGCGCGTTGAACGAGGTCAACGCCAGATATGATTTCTTCAACGACAGCGATCCGTTCCATTCCCACTTGAGCACACCTGAGGATTGCATCATGGATGACCCGATCGCCGGCAGCCTTGATCAAAGCGACACTCGTGTTACCCCGCCGGTCAGCGTGCAAGTGGACACCTCGAGTACAACCCCAAGCCCGAGCCCTCGGATGAATGGCCGTCGTGGCCCAACTGTTTCCACTCCGGCTCCCGGCGCTGTTCAGCCTGATCGGATGGAGGTTGATATTCCGGTTCCGGCCGATAAGCCAGCTGATATCCCAGCAAGAGACAATTTCCCGGCAGATAGTCGGGATACAGTGCGTACGCAGACGCAGGTTCCGGCGGTAGCTGGTGCTCAGGCTGATATTCCTGTCACAGTCGGTACAACGAATGATATTGCGGTTCCAGGCGGTACACCGGCCGATATTCCAGTCACAGTCAACAGACCGGTGGATCCTCCGGCTCCAAAGAGGAGGCCGACGAGTGGTCCGGCTACTGCTGGGATGCCGGGCGACATTCCGGTTTTAGTGGGACCATCGACTGACATTCCGCCTCCAACGGACAAGAGTTGGTCTAAGGAAAAAAGTACGAAGGCAACCACGCGCTCACAAGGCACTAGGTCTCGTTTGCCGAATTTGAAAAAGAAGACGCATCGACCAGTTGGGAAGAACAAGAGGAGAGTCGGACCGGACGATGATTCTGAATCTTCCAGCGAGTCCTTCATCAGTACCGACGATTCCTCTGAATCCGATTCGCAACGTTCATCGACCATGCTTCCTTCTCAGCCTCAGCTGTCCGGCCTACTAGGAAAAGGCCCTAAGGGAAACGGAGCACCGTTGTCGTACCATGTGTTGAGTGTCCGGAACGCAGCTCTCGAGGATTTCATGAAGCGGTATACGGCACAGAGCCGGAAGAAAATCGGACAGTTAGGACGTCAGGCTGAGCGCTTGAAGCGGACATCGACCAAGAAATCGGTGGTGTGTCGCAACCTGAAAAATCGACTCCAAAACAAGGACGACAAGATCTTGGAATTCAACCAGGACTATCCTTCCGAGCTCCAAAGTCTCGAACACAAATTGAAGGTCAGGATGGTGCCCATCATGTACAATCAACTTCGTTCTGCTCGGGCTGAACTCGCTCAACAAAGCACTCAAATCGAAATCTATCGTAAGGAGAGAGAGCTTCAATCGTTGATCAGAGAAGACTTGCAAGCCGAATGCAAAGAACTCGAAGCTAAAATCCGTCGATTGGAATCAAATCAAAACAGTCTTATGGAACTTTTTTGATCCTGTTAGTTTTTTTTTTTTTCTATTCAAAGGTGATATACATCATTCAATCATCTCACTTCTGTCATATTTGTTTGATAGGTATTTTTACGAAATGAAACTTTTTTGGGATCATCATTACGTTGATTCAAAAAAAAAAAAAATGATATAAATTGCAAGTTAAATTCGGGCATGAAATGCCCTCGCTACACTTGTGTGAATTTTTTTTTCTCTTTCCGTGATTACAACTGTATCGTGTATTTCAACTTTCCTATATCGATCCCTTCTCCAAGTTTACGGCCTATTTTTTCTTGCGACCTGAGAGAGCTGCTCTATCGGCTGCCTCTTTAGCTTTGGCTGTTGTTATATTTAAAGAAGGAGTGGTAATTTGATTGTAAGATAAATAGCTGCATAATGGATGAAGCTCGGAATCATTAGAATGATATCAAGACAGGAGTATTGAGCTCACCCTCAGCTTCTGCCTTCCTAAACGCAGCTGCCTGCTCACGTTCTTGCCGGATTTTCGCCAGGCGTGCCAGGTCGACTTTGGCTTCGTCAGTCTAAAGAATTCAGTTCAATTGTCAGATGTTCCTGTTTTGAAGGAGGTTACAAGCACAATTTTGAGTGTTACCTTTCCAGCTTCTGCAGACGTCAGGTGATAATAGCGGCAGACCCTCAATTATGGATTAGTGACTTAATAATCCAGAGGCACTTATGAGGTCACGAGACATAAGCGGAAATCAACTGACGATGCAGTTTCCAATATCGTTCCTGAGCTGCCTTTTTCTCAGCTGCCTCCCTAAAATGATCAACCAAGCAAGGAAACGTTTGTCAGGAGCGGGGGCATAAAATTCAGACCTGTTGATACGAAAAGAAGAGGGCCCGAGATAGATAGAGAGAGGGACCGACCTTTCCTTTCGATTTAAGGTGCCGGTATCCAAGTTAGAGATTTCGTTGATTTTGACGGATTTCTTAACCACTCGGTTCGAGTTTCCCAGTCCCAAATCTTGATCATCGTCATCGGAGTCTTCGCCATCATTTCCAGTCTTCGTCGACTTGCCGGCCGCCTGTTTCTTAGCCGCTTTCCGTTCGGCCCGAGTCTGAGTGATTGACGAATCCTCCTGCGGCTTGGATGATGAGCCGAGCGAGGTCGAGGCGAGCTTGGAGTTCAGTTCTTCCGCGCCTGACTCCTCCTCTTCCGAATCTTCTGACTCTTCCGACGACTCCTCTGATTCCGAGCCCTTCGCTTCACCATCCCACATCCCTGCTCGATCACTCTCAGCTAGGTTTTGTGTAAATCTGAAAACAAGCAAGATCCATCAAAAGCGGAGTACATTCTCAAAATCATTTAGGCCTTCCTCAATCTGGCGTTATCGGTGGTTCATTCGACGTCTTGACTCACTGTTTCTTTCCTCCTCGTTTCGGCTTTCCAAACTTTCCTGCATTGCGAACCTGATGGTAAAATTCAAATCGCAAGTCGGACATACACACAAGCAGGGAAAGATGGTCAATGAGGTTGTCAGTTCCAAGGATGAGGGGAGGTCATCGCATGAACTCGACGGATAAAATGATCTGAAACAACTGACCATGGTGAGAAATTTGTTCGGCGTAAGAGTGTGTGTCCGTTTAGCTATGGCAGGCCTAAAGTGTCCTGTTCCTTGGAAGTTGTCAGAAAAATAAGCCAAAGATCCCGTCGGGAGAACTGATAAGCCAGGAGAATAAGCCGGAGTTTTCTGTTGTCCCCGGGGGGGGGGGGGGGGGGGGTAGCTTCACCCCGACTCCCGATAAAGATCAATTAATTAATTAAATGATTATGTAATACTGCTGCGTCAGCGTAGTGCATACAACGAGAAAACACCCGCTGTTGCAAGACTTCGGCGACTTCCACCTCCCGTTCTCTTCTTCCCGTCTTGATCCAAATCGCAATACCAAGATATTGCTGTTTGCTTCCCCTGGCTGATATCCAGAGAAACTGTTTTCCCACAGCGCGTGGGCGGGGCTACCTTTGTATGCTCTCTATGTAGGAGACCCATTGTTGCGGAGACTTATCACTATCAGTCGCAAGTTCTCATAGCCAGTGTATTGGATCTATCTAATCTTCAATGAACCTCCCGCCACGCAGGGTACGAAAGACTCGCTCATTCTTCAATGCCATAGCGAGGTTCTCAATCGGCTTTCATGGATTCGTTCACATTGATTGGGCTCGGTCAAACAAACTCTCATATGTCAGGTCATTGGTTTAAAGAATATCAATTGTGAATTTCAAGCAAATAAAGTCTGAAGACAACGAATGAATTGTGAAATATAAAATCATTGGCTGTATGAAGGGAAAGACGTGAAATTTTAAATGATCTTTTGTTGAACCGAGTAATATTCAAGAATCAGTTTACTGGGCATCCCATCGAAGAAGTCAAGGAACTCACAAGAATGATAATTTTCGTCATTTAAGCCAACCGAATCTTGCTTGTTGGGCGGTCTTGATCATCCTGATCTTCATCGGCGCTCCTTTTTCGGGTTCCAAGAACTCCTTGGGCGCCTTCCTCCGCTTGCTTCTTAAGAGTCCCTTGGGCGCCTTCCCTCGGCCTGGGTGGAGTTCCGAGTCTGAGTCTGCTTGGCGCAATATCGTCTAGGCGGAGCAGAGCCACTCTTGGGTGAGGGGGAGGGGAAGCGGAGGAGTCCAATTGTCTGATAGGAGGAGTCGATTCTGGAGGGGTCGCGTGAGTTGTAGGCGTATTATCAGTGCCTCGTTCGCCTGTTAAGAACTAGCAAAAGCTGGAAAAAAAAACATACCTTGGGGGGCCATCGGAGCTGGTTGAATCAGACCAGCTTGATCAACCTGATAATCGCCATAGACAGGAGCGACGGCATATTGATCAATTCCTATAGGTGGAAACAGCGCGTGAGTATCGCGCTCTGAACAGTACTCAAACTTAAAGCCAACACACCTTGAATACCAATGGGATCTGAGTAATATTCAGGGAATTGTAGGAAGTGAGTAGGTTGGTTGAAGTCTTCAACCAATGCTGGCAAGGAAATTGAATTAGCGTCACGATCTGAACAGTTGCCGAAGCTCAAAGCGATATACCTTGACTGCCAGATGCATCTGAACGAAATTCAGGGGGCTGGCTGGGGGTTTCACAGCTTTGAAGGAACGCTATCGAGAGGGCATCATGTTAGTAATGATTCCTAACAAGTAGTGAAGGAGTAACCAACCGACCTTGATATTCTTGTGCATATAATGCATCTGATTCAGGGTCGCAGGTATACTGGGCTTCCGGGTATACCTGGCTCTCCGGTCCAATGGAGGCGAATACTATGAAATCCAATTATAGGAGTGAGAACGGTGTGATCAATGGTGGGCATATCTAAAGCAAGAAATAGCCGGAAGGAACGCACTGTCATCGAATTGTTGATGAATTCCTGAATCCATCCAGCCTTTTATTTCGGTCCGGGTGAGGAGAGAAATAGAGAAACGATAATAGCAAAGCTGTTAAGAAGGGAGGATGTATACCAAGGAAGAGGATTAAGAGTAGAGAATGAAGCCAGCATACTTGATCTGTCGATTTCCTCCCAGCCAAGAGAATCGACTAAAGATTCAGGCTGGACAGGAGCGGCCAAAGCTAAGGACGCGTCGAGAAAGCCGTTAGCATAGTGCTGGGCGCACCGTTTGAATGGAACAACAGTCTAAAGAAACACACCTTCATCGGGCACTGGAGCATTCCCTTCTTCTATTGGATCATTGCCACTATGTTTTTCCATCTTGAAAGGCGAAGAGAAGTTAAAGTAAAAGTGTATAAAGCTACAGAAATTTTGTCAAGTCAAGAGCGCGGTCAGAAAGAGAAATATTTATTAAAGCGTTTAGCTTAGATGAGGGCCGGGGAAGTCAAGCAATGGAGTATTTACCTTTAGTTTCTGGAAGGGTGGTGGGGGGGGGGTGAAGGGGATTGAGTGAGTGAGAAGCAGGTGGCGAAGAGGGGGAGAAAGATCTGATGGGCGAAACAAGTATGCTCTTTTATGTGAAGCATTGCTGCTCCCGCTGAGCCTTCGAAGCTACTGAAGGCCCGGCGATTGCGTAGCCTTTGTGGCCGGTAGTACAGAATGTGCGATGCCTTTGGCTCAACGCTCATTCAATTTAGCGCGGGTTGAGGGCCTAATCCTTTGTAGTCATGAAAATTGTTCAGTAGCTGTAAAGCTCAGAAGGAAGATAAACCATGCAAATTGTTCAGCTTTCTATGTATTGAATGGATTCACTCGCAAATCCTTGATGTTGGCTCAACGGTGAATTAATTGAGTTCTATCACTGCTAAAATCACGTAGTCATGGTCTGTGTTCTAAAAAAAACAGCTCAAGACAAAGGAATTGGGCAACACAAAGGAAGTGGGGTTGCCTTCAACCTTATTATCGAGCCATGGCCTTGTTAGGAATTTGGTTGGCTGCCAAACGGCTCGCGCATTTCAAGATGTTCACTTTACTCGCACATTATACCCAGCTTGCGATTTGTCTGGGACGTTCAAGCCTTGCAAACGATGAGGCACAGTCATTGCCAGAAGTATTCGTCTCAGCACTGTATGCGGAAAGGTGAACTAGTGTTGCAGACATCTCTCCTTTAAACCAGTTGCAATGCTTAGAAGGAAGACATTACGTGATTGCGTTACCCAGATTTTCAGTCTGTATGAACACGCATGCTTATTTTGATATTGGCTCAACGGCCAATCAAATGAGCGGTGCTGCTCTAAATATCACGTAGAATTAGAGCGCATTTAGTGTTCTAATGAAAGAATTCCAAGACGAAGGCATCCAAGGGTGATTTCCGCCAACCTGGTCATTGAACCCTGGGGGCCTACACGGGGTTCGTTTTGCACCTCTTTTTCATCTCACGAAGCAGCATGCGTGCCTGGGCGCCAAATCCCTTGGTGGAGCAACATGACGAGCGTATCATAATTTGTAGCCTTTGAGGGGTACAGGCAAGAGCAACAGACCTAGAGGGTCAAAGGAACATTGATTAACCTCAATTTCAGGGCTTGGTTGAATTTCAACACTCATATTTCGAGGATATTATTGAAATGTGTAATTGCAGAGTAACATTGATGTTGGAGTTGGATCAATAAAGAGCATGAATGCAGCTACTCAAGGCAAATTATGATTAACTGCAGGAACATGGGAATAAGCTACTTTGTTTGCACTTTTTAATCTGCATATAACGCCTCAACGGTTTGCCACGGGTGCTCTCCTGGAAATTAGTAAAGAAACTCGCAAGAATGCAGCCGCGCGCATCTTTTTTCGCTCTTCTTCATCAATATTCTGGCCACCGCTGGGGCTTCGAAGAACTCCTTGTGTACCTAACGCGGGTCTGGCTGGTGTTCCGAGCCCACGGGACTCGGGGAGAGCTCCGCGGATGATTACGGTCAGTGTTCTGGGGTGACGGACAGGGGGCGCGCATGGATGACGTGGTCCGACCAGAGCGGGGTGGGTAGCCTGGTAGTAAATCCGGGCTCTCTGCTCCAAGTATGCCTCGCGCTGACGCTGAGGGCGGGAGTTCCGAGTTCGAACAGTTCTTGCGCCTGGACCGGTCATTTTCATCGTGGAGGGCCGGAGGTGTGTATTATTGGGACAGGTGCGTGATGTTTTTTGAAAAGACAATTATTAGAAAAGGTCAGTCCGGCTTGCTATTCTTGGTTATGTTTGATCTTCAGATGGGCACAGGAAATTAACGTCTTTATGTCCTGGAAGGGTGGTAACAGGCGAGGGTGAAGGAGGCTGGCAGACGATGGAGAACAGGCTCTGGGCGACGAGAGTTCGTTCTCTTATGGGAGGGAACGCTGCAATCGCTGAGCCAGTGAAGCCATTCGAGAAGATGCTTTTCTTCAGCATTTCCAAATCTCAGAATTGATGGCACTCGGCAGAGCATTCATTGAAGAAATGGAAGCGGCTTGGGGATGAGTTGAATAGAACAAATGCATTCCTCCAAAGACATTTCCATTGCATCAGCCAAAACAACGGGATACACTGCTGTTGTGGAGCAATTGCGAAGTTCAGAGGGGCCGTCACATCTTGTTGTATTAAACATGCATCGAGCTTAAAAGAGTTTCTCGGGGATTTTTCCCTGCCGGCTCAACAGAGTATCGAGAGAACAGTGTCCTCGTCAATGCTTGATCTCAAGAAGGCCACTCTTTAAAAAAACGCAACTGATCAAGTCAAGTGACCTTCTCCCTGTTGTGATATCTTGCGATATCAACCGTCATTTCTGGTTTTAGTTCAGTTTTCAACAAACCGCCCAACGCGAGTTAAAGCCTCCAATGTCCATCTACTAGGGCAAATTCCTACTTTTACTGCACATGGCTCAGAATGATTGCTGAGAATACGCAACTTGATAGAAAAATTTAATGGCCGGTCAACTCTTGAAAGTGGGATAGCTCAAATTGACTGTTCAAGCTTTCACATGGTATCATCGAAAAATAAAATAAAGACTACTTTGGTTGAGGCACACAGGCCTTAGTGTCATCTTCAGGAAAGGCTGGAAGAGGTGTCAGAGGAGCCTCCCAAGTTAACAAGTTTACTTTTATGAAGAATTGGTGGCAGGCTGTTATGATTGGGATCACAGTGTTTGCAGAGGATGAATTTGAATTCTATGTTAAGCAGTGGTGGTAGCAGATTTCTAAAGCCATACTGACTTGGATGTACACATGAAGTTTGAAGGCTACGAAAATTGAATTTAAAGTCCGATCCAATGATGAGTGGTTCAAACTTGAATTCAGATTTGATGCATATGATCTTGAGTTGAAAAAATTCCTTTGGTCCATTTCTTGACCTCAAGAAGGTGACGGGAAGCAATCATCCGTGACTAAAGCAAAGGCATTATTGAGATCATTGAATAAAGTGATGCCCAAAAGGCAGGGCATTTGATAAAGGCCTTTGTAGAGAGAATACAGTTTTTGAGCTTATCTGGGTCAAACTCCAATTCTTGAAACAAGCAAGAATTGGGACTTCATTCAACTATACCAATCCAGAGCAACTCCAACATAAACCAGTAGTGTCATGTATTTTTTGATTTGTCTTATTTATACTCTTTGCTGTTTTTGTATCCTTTTTCTTACCTCTGGATGAATGCTTATGATTCCAGGTACTCTGTAAATTATGTAGTTTACTCAAAAGATGTGGAACTTAGGATAGATGAGTAAGATCCAAAAGATTGATTTGGCTCATTAAGCCATCTTGAGACACATCAATTATTGATGGTTAATATTCTACCTTAAATGTGCCCAAGAAGGAATTTGAGATTACCCCAACTTAATTTGGGATGTGTCAAGTTGAAGTGGGGTTTGAAAAAAGTATGCTTGTTCTTGAGGGCATTCCAATTGGGACATGGTATTTACCTACTGAGCTTGAATTTTGTAGGCCCAATTGTGGTGTGTTTGCTAAACAGGATTCTAAAATTTCCAGTTGTGCTGGCTTATTTTCTTGTCAAATGTTTCTGATGGTAAATCAGTTTTCTACAATTGATTGAGACTGAGTCAGTTTAGTGCATGGACACAAATTCTCATGTTTCCAATCATTCATGATTTTTCTGGTTGAGTGTGGAAAGTTTTCCAATGACTGGCAATTATCAAATGGACTGATATGACAAATCTTACAGGGGGAATCGGACCTTTTAACCCTTTTACCTGGGTATTGTTATTACATCACATTTTATTATAAATTTCAAAACACACAAGACAATACATACACAGAAATATCATGAACCAATGTTTTAGAATAGTTTCATTACCAATATTTATCTTTTATGATTGAAGAACTGTAGATCTGATTGCTCAGAAAATAAAATACCAGAACTGAAGAAAACAAAACAAGGTTAGAAAAATAAGAGAAAGAAAAAAAGACAATCTTATATAGCATACCCAAAATAGATTTTTATTGTGCAAAAACAGACAGTTTAATAATTTTGAGGACAGGAATAGAGCCAATAAGATATTAACTGAGATGGTTCAACATTGATAAGAAGAAAAAAAAGTTTATGTTGTTGTCTTCTCACCAAATTGAGAAGACAACAACTTGACCTTTATTTTTTTTGAGGTTGTTAGGTTGAAGATGGTTTTAGATAGATAGATAAGGGGAAAGAGATTTGAGGTTGAGAGTGGCCGAGATTTTCAATGGAAAAGAGAAGATGAAGGGAGTGAAGTGGATATTATCCTCAAGAAGAGAAGATGGCAGAAGTGAAGTGAGAGAACTGAACAGAGAGAAAACAAGAGACTGATATTAGATCTCCCGTTTCTTTTAATGAAGATTTAGGTGAGGCTTGGGTTGGTATAGTTGTTTTGCCTTGCGTGTCACAGTTCATTTGAGTCAGATTTCAACAATGATCAATTTGACTGGATTCTCATATGTGATCTTGAGCCAAGACCAAAATATATGCAAAATCTTTTTCATCTATTCAAATTTTGTCAACATTCCCACTGTTTTGTTCTGCTTTGTAAATTTCAGGTTCTATCTTCATAGAAGTAAAAAAATGTTAGGAAATGGGGGATCTGTTCTATAATCTGGTAACCCAGTCCTGAGCCAAAAAAAATGACATTCTTTCTTCAGGCCAAGGAAACTTTATTGTGGAGTGAGTTTCATTTTTGAATTTCAGTGCATGGTAACCTCATTACATCACCTGATCTCAAGCTTAGTAGATTGATACATGTTGTTTTTTCTTTGCTCAAAAAAATTATTTATATGATTCAGGTTTTTGCCTCAAAGGACTTAGTTTTCATATTAATCTGATGACTCCCAACTCATCTATTCACTTGAGGTATGATATTTGGGAGCAGGGATTTCACAGTATCTTAAATCTGAAATTTATCTCCCTCAGTAATACCAAAGCTGAAGTTTTGAAAATACCAGTGTCACACCAGGAATTCATTTCCACCAACACTATTGGTGGGAATATCACATCACATGCATGTGATATTTCTGGTAGCTATATACTCTTATTTTTGATGATGACAACAGTTTATTCAAACATCAGGCTAATTGTCAGAGCAGTGCAACAATTTTTGCACCATCTATACTGGAATTGTGGTCCATAGTAAGACAAATCTCACAAACCAGTACCAGGTGTAAAATAAACTGCTGGACCAACCCTTTCTGTGGGGGTAACACATGATAACATAGTGGCAAAGCCAATGATGGTTATTTGTCACGTGGTCAACCTATATGTATCAGAGCCCCAGAGTCACAGGCTATCAAGTCTACTCCACCCAGAGATGGCTAGTTTGAACCTAAGGTTTGAGTTGACTTACAAACAGTAGCCACATTGTTTAGGGTCAATTTACCAATTGATTCACAAAGTTACGGAATCATTTGTGCACCATTGGTCAGATTCCCCAGCCGATCGACCAAGCATATCAACCAAATTCATTATTGTGGAAAAATTATTTGATGCAAATGGGGGACAGCTTCTCCCAACTTATGTGTCAGTGCAAACGCAGCTCGGGTGCACTCATCGCCCTCAATTCCATTGTTCAAGATTGGATTTCATTTCTCAAATCTCCAGGAGCCTATTGGAATTTTAAGGCACATCTTCTCAAGGAAATATGATGTGGAAATTAGAATCAATAGAGCATATAAATACAACAGCTGAAGGCGAGTTATGATCAACCATATGAAGGGTGCAATAACATTAGTTGTCACCATCTGTTTATCTGTGGAAAATGCCGTAATTAGTTACCATTGAAAGCTTTCCAGGACAGCGGTGGAGAAACTCAGAGGAATGCAATTTCTCGCATTTATAATGACCTTCTCCTGTTTGTGGGATTTGATCGCTGATCCTTAGCAACATTTTTGTTTCTCCGTGTGCTTTGGAGGATTCCCTTTGTACCTACCCTCGGGCTGGCAGGAGTTCCGAGCCCCTTCGGCATGGGGTAAGATCCGCGCATGATCAGGGTTAACACTCTGGGGTGACGGACTGGGGGTGCGTCCGGATGACATGGTCCGACCAGGGCAGGGTGGGTGTCCGCGTAGTATTCCAAGGCTCGCTCTTCCAAGTACGTCTCACGCTTACGCTGTGGACCGGTATTCCGAGTGCTATTATTTCGCGCGTCTTCAAGAATTGCTTGTACTGGGTAGGGCCGAATATGTGATTAGGCTCGCGACTGGTGCACGGTGATAAAGACTGAAATCAACATACCTTGAGAGGCCGCCGAGACAACTTCACTCTCACCATCCAGAGTACCTTTATGGAAGGGAGGGGAAGGGGCGTGAACAATTGCAAGAAAGGAAATCAGTGTAGTGTCACGGAAGCAGATGGCCGTATAGTAACGCACCTTCGATTCCAGATGTATCTGAAGGAAAAGCGGAGGAAGATTCGTCGGCAAATTCGGGCAGTTCTTCTTGTTGTGGGAGCTCGTGCTCGTCAAGGAGGGAGATATCTTTTGGGCAGAGAAAAATGAGGGATCAGTGTTTGGAAAATGGAATTCTTCAAGAGCTGCGGCAACGCACTGTGAAGGGGTTCTTGGGCGTCGGGGTCGTCTTCCTCTGGAAACTGGTCATCGTTGAGGAAGGCGATAACTGTTATTTGACAGAGAAATTGAGCAGTCAGAGTTGTGTGATTTGAGAAACATCAGAGGTAAAAGCCACGCACTATCAAGGGTTTCTTGATCAAGGCCAGTGCATTTCTGAATATCCTCGCGGGATTCTTGGATTTTGGAAGGGGTGAAGAGATTAGCAACGAAGAGCAAAGATAAGAACGCGTCTGAGCTAATGATAAATGAGGAAGGACATGGGCAGTATGAGAAAATAATTGACCCAACATACCATCAATGTCAAATTCATCCTGAGGATAGTCATAATCATCATCCTGAGGGTCGACTGCGGAAAGAACAGCAATGGCTACAAGAAGTAGAAATTAGATCAGTGGGTTGAACCAGGGAGGTGATGATGGCTGACAAGAACGCACATTCGGCAGTCACTGTATCTATGCCTGAAGATATTTCATCATTCTTTTTGGTTTCTTCCATGATATACCGTGTAAAAGGAGTCGAAATAAAAAGAGTATAGAGCTATAAGAAGTTTGTTAGTAAAACAATTGTTAGAAGCGGTAAGGCCAGATGTGGTTCCTTTGATGTTATTTGGTCTTCAGACGGGCACGGAAAATATATGCCTTGCAGGTCCTGGAGGCGGGGATGGGTGGTGTGAGGCAAAGGTGGTGTGACGGCAGGAGGTACGGAGGCTTGTGACTGAGCGTCAAGAGCTCGTTCTTTTATGTGAATGAATGCTGCAATCGCTGAGCCGGTGAAGCGATTTGACACGCTGCTTTTCCTAAGCATTTCCAAAGCTCAAAACTGATGGTACTCAGCTGAGCATTTGTTGAAGTGAACGCGACTCAGGAGTGAATCGAATAGAACAAATGCATTTATCTACAGACATTTTCATTGCACTAGTCAAAACAATGGTAGAAGGTGCTGTTATTAGGCAATTGCAAAGTTCCGAAAGGAAAAAATATCCGGATTCTACTCTTGAAAAAATGGATTGAAATCAAACTCCGCAAGTCTTCCCTTACAGGCTCAGTGTCTCTCGTTAGTAAGTGCGCTCAGGGAGGTCTCTACGCTTTGGAAAAACGACAAAAGACAAATCAAGTTTAACTTCTCCCCATTGTGCTATGAACCCATATTTCTGGCTTTAATTCAATTTTTAACCAACCGCCCAGCGCGAGTGAAACGCGCAATCTACTGGCGCATATGTACTCCTACTTTTACTGGGCATGGTTCAGAGTCAAAAGGATTGCTAAGAAGACGCAATGTAACAGAAAAGTGTAATGGCCGGTCAACTCTTGAAATTGGTTCAGCAAAAATTTACTATGCAAGTTTTCATGTGAGGCCATCGGAACATAAAATAAAATAAAAACTACTGTAGTTGAGAACTTGAGGCGCAAGTCTATAGATCTCATCTTGAGGTAAGGTGGAAAGTTTATGCCTAATTCAATTTGGAAAGTTTGCCTAAGATTGGAGACGAAAGACTTCAAATATCATATCATATCATAAGACATTCAACAAGCGAGTCAGAGCCCACCGATCAAGTAAAATAAATTACTATTATCATCTTGGTCATTAATTAAATGGGGGCCGGGACTAGGAGATTTCAACATGATCAACCTTTAAAACACGGAATTCCTGAAAACAGCCTGCTTCACCGAGAAGAAACCTGTATGCCGGCATTTTAAGTAAGTGTAGCATTCTCAGATCATGTAATCAAAGCAGGTGTCAAAGGAGCCCTCCAAATTGACAAAATGCAGTCTATGAATCAATCATGATGGCAACTATTCATCTTTTTGTATTTAAGGTATTCAAAGTTGAAATGCATGAAATCATAGAGTGCATAAATCATATAATCATAAAACATTTTGGCTGGGAAAGCCAAAGCTTACATAATCAGATTACCAAGATCCCCTGCAAACAAGGTTTTAAGATCTTATGATTTATGCGGTTATGATTTCATGCATTTCAACTTTGAATACCTTAATTGGCCTAGCAACACATCTGAAACATTTTCAATTTTCATCAGGGTATTTGGAGAGGAACAATTTAAGTTACTTGTTGACTATTGCTGATAGCAAATTTCTGGAGAGATGATGAATTGGATGTGTGGATAGAATTAGGAAGCTAGGAAAATCAAACATGCCAAATACCTTGAAGACAGACTGTATGGACCTAGTTACACAAGAAAAATCTTGCCCATGGGTAGAATGAGATAAACATAGAAAATTCCTGGTATTAGAGAAAGCTGGATTTATTGCGGGGTGATGTGCTGTCATTCAAAGGTCATCATTGTGGATGGATGAGAACTTTATATAAGCGGGAGAGCCATGAAATAATTTGAAATGATTTTATCTCAGTATAATAGAGAAAATTTGAATTGTCCTCTGAAATCAACAAAGGCAAACAATCAAGTGTTTCAAGACAACCAATATTTGTAAAAACACATAAATTAGTCAGAGACTTCAACTTAAGTGACAGAAGGAATATAAATCTGAAAAACCTTTTTATGATACCCAAAAGGAAGTGCATTTGATAAAGGACTCAACAACATAAAAAATGATTTATCGAGCTCATGATGATCATCTGGGTAAATTTCAAATCCTGAAACAGCCAAGAATTGGGACTTGACAATCCAGGAAGGGTGGATCAAAGATATTTTTACAAGTCCATTTTTTGGTGGGCCAGCTCAAAGCTCTGTTCAACTACAATCAGAAAATTGAAATTGACCATGCCAATCCATAACCATTTAAATTCATTAAATTCACAATTTTCTTGCTTTTCTTAATTTACTTTTTCTCCATTTTTGGTTGCTGTTGGCCCTAACTTATCACAAGTCCCTTGCCTGCAGTCTGTTTTTCTGCTCCCAAAGCGCGCCCTCCCGCAGGGAGGGACTTGTGTACAAAGTCAAAATTTGGGCTGGGACAGGAAATAAGAATGGCTGGAATGAAATTTGTTAAGGCCCTGGCTCCTTATCCTAATCCTCTACAAGCCTGGCTCAGAGACAGATTAAACTTTTGGGTCCAAGCTTCCATTTGAAGGTGGTCTCATCCCTTCATTTTCCCTGGTTCCCCTTCTACATTTTTTTTGAAAAATGATTTTTCCTCAAAAACCCAAAACAACAATCAACCAAGATCCACACTCATTTAGATGATTGAAAAAACTGTCTAGTCATAATTTCTTTCAAGTAAGTGTTTTTTTTTTTGAAAAATTGTTATGTGGTATTAGGCTTGAAAATCCTTCCTGTCCCAGCCAAATTTTTGACTTGACTCATAAGCCTCTCCTACAGAGAGTGTCCCACGGGGACACCCCGGGAGAGGCTTTGTTAAGCTAGCTGTTGGACAGTTTTTCTGATCTCTCCATGAATGTACTCAACAGATACTGAAATATGTAAAAATTCTCAAACCAACCCCAAAGATTAGTTCATCCCATGAAGCCATCTTGAGGCATAGTGTATTTGTAAAACCTTGTAAATTCAATTTTTTTTAATCAAAATCCATCACATGTTGATACAAATACAGAATTCTTTGACAAAACACAAGTCCAATGATGTAGCACTTGTAATTCAACGATGCTTTATTTTTTTGATCAAGCTGATGCCAATGGGATCCTCATACATATGGGATCTTTAGCCAGGAGTTGACCAAAAGGTTTGAGAAATTTTTCAAGTCTTTGGTATGATGAAGTAATGGTTCTTTTGAATTTTCTGAGTTTTCCAATTGCTTTATTCTTCCCAACAATGGTGAAACAATGCAATTTGATGCGATGAATGGCCATGTATTGGAATCACATCAAAAAAGGGATGCATTGCATCGGCATGGTATTGGAAAGCAATGCAATCCAATGCCACCAAATTATAGTGCATCACATCTGTATCAAAGAACCTGATGCAAGCAATGCAATGTGGGGCCCCACATTGCTCTCTTGATGTGATGGGATGGGATGCCTATGCATGCATCACATCAGTTATAAAGTTGTTCTCAATGATACTTGCAAAAAAAATGTATTTCAGCATTTCAAGGGGTTTGCCTTGAAGCATTCAGGTTAGATATCATCATGTGAGAGAGGTGAGACATAGTGCATTCAATGAGTTTTATTATAAGGCTTGAGAGATGTTGAATTTTGGGAACAGGGGTTGGGCCAGGGTTTGTGAAAGGAGGGTAGTGGTACCATGCCTCTTAACTTGGGATTGATCAAGGTTCAACAGGAGTTCAAAATATGGAGAGAGCTTCCAGATCTAGATAATTGATTGGGAGTTCTACGTTTGGTGGGACAATAGCTCCCAATGTAGCTATGTACCCACCTCAGTATAATCTGTGTGTGTTTTGAATCTAAAATTTATCACAGTGAAACTGAAATCTTGAAAAAAAAAATGTTCTAGCACCAGGACCTTCCTGCCAAAACTATCAGTGGTGATATCATAGCACAGCACATATAATACTGCTGATAGCAATCCAATCTCATATTTGATGTTAGCACAAGTTTTTTAAAACATCAGGCTAGGCTTGCCAAGAAGAGCAACCATTACACGCCAGAGTAGTGTAACATTTTTTTGGACCTGCTACACTGAAATTGAGGTCCATTACACATCATGGTAAAAAAGATGTTACTCAATCTATGTGGAAAAATGAAAAAAACTGCTTACACACCAGCCCTTTCTGTCTGGAGTTGAGCAATAGCATTTGATACATCTGGAGAGCAATTCTGCTCAACTTGTGTCCAAGTGAAAACTCAATCCAAGTCTGGGTATCCAATAACACTTGCAATCAAGTACAATGGAAAGCTTTCTGGGGTCACCAGATGGTTCTTAGCATACCCTCAACATAGCCCACAAAGCTTACACTTTTCTGAAGCCCATTTCAGATCCAGTATTATCACCATTGGTTGGCTAATAATGCACCTGTGGCCCAATCAATCAATCAATTAACCAACTAATCAAGTTATTGCTTCATCGGCTATGACAGCTATATACACTTGGCTGCGTGTTCTATGAAAGTGGTGGATAGCCAACAATTGTCAGAAAGAAAGAAGACGTTGAGCTAAGGATCAATCCGGGGGATAATGATTGACAAGAGATAAAATGGTGAAAATGGTTAAGCAAGAAAGTGAGTTTGTGACGCTTAGAATTTGATAGCAATTGCAGTGGGGGTTTTTTTTCTGTGTCCCAAAAAACCAACAAACTTGACACACGAGTCCCTCATCAGTCAAGCCAGTCGGCGTCGGGCGCTTATCGCTCTGTCTTTCGACTGGGGTGTCATCAACTTATGAAAAACCAACGGGTTTACTGAGATTTGAGTTGGTTCAAGACGACCTCGATTTGTTCTTGCACCGCTCTTTTACTAGTTCCACCTTTGACGTCTTTACGTTCAACCGAGTTTTCAAAATTGAAAACCTCGAAAACGTCTTGAGCGAAATGTTCAGATAACCCTTGATATTCTTCCAGTGAGATCTGCGCTAGAGTGATTTTCTTTTGCTCGGCCAATCGGACTGCCGAGCCTGAAACATGATGCGTTTCTCGGAAGGGAATCTGATTGTCCAAGATTGTTTTTCAAGCAAGCAAAATGTTAGCCTTTCCGGCCTTCCTACATGGGAGTGTTTCTGTTGGCTTGCATGATTATCTAAACTCACCCCTTTGCGAACAAGATATTCAGCCAGATCGGTGGCTAACATTTCAGGCGTCAGGGCTGCCTGCATGCGCTCAGGATGAATCTATTGGCAGGCAAGGATGTCAAAACTCATGTGTGCTACTGTTTGAAATAGCAAACATGGCGCAATACGGACCTCCAAAGTTGCCATGACTCCCTCGAGGATTTGGATAGAGGCTGACAAAGTGTCGGCCGCATCAAACATAGGTTCCTTGTCTTCTTGCAAGTCTTTATTGTAAGTAGCTGGAAGACCCTTATATGTCATCAAGAACCCAGAGAGCTGATCAAAGTTGTGAATGGATAGAAACCCTTTCTCAGCGTGTTGTAAGTTGGGATAGGGTCGAGAAAATGTGAAAGAAAAGCCAACCTGTCCAAAGGTTCTTCCAGATTTCCCCCGCAAAAGCTCGAGTGAATCTGGGTTTTTCTTCTGGGGCATGATGCTAGATCCAGTACTATAGAATAGAGCCACTCCATCAAATAAGAGATTTGTAGACGGAAGGGTCGGTTGCAAGCAATGAGACTGCCAACCTGTAAGCATCGGATAGGGTAACATAACCGAATTCCGACGAGGAATAGATGATTAAATCCTCTGCCAGACGACTAACATGTACCATCGTCATGGTACACCAGAAGAGGAATTCGGCCACAAAATCACGATCCGAGACTCCCTGTCGGATCAAATTCCTACATTAGTCAAGTGGGAGATGAGCCAGTTAAGAAAAAAAAGGGTTTTCTTACATGCATCGAGTTGATTGACAACGATTGAAAGCCAAGCGCTTCCAGCAATAACTGCCGATCTACGTTAAATGGGTTTCCCGCAAGAGGTCCTGATCCTAGGGGAAGGGTTGCAATTCTGGGAAGCAAAGACTTCAACCGATTAAAATCGGACAGGAAGGCCGTGGCGTGTGACATAAGGAAGTGGGACCATCGAATAGGTTGGGCACGCTTCATTCCACAGGAAAGATATCAGCACCAATTTTCAAAATAGTTCATGATATCCGATGGCAACTGTAGACTCACTTGGAGATGGGTGTAACCAGGCATGAGGACAGCGATCTCTTTTTCTGCTCGGCTTGCGATCACCTTGATCAAACTTTCCATGAATAGCAAAAGTTTGTCGCACTCCTCCATCAACCATAGCCTCATATCGGTTGCAACTTGATCGTTTCGACTTCTGCCGGTATGTAGTTTCCCGGCGACCTTGCCGATCTTCTCCATCAATCGACGTTCGTTAGCGGTATGAATATCCTCATCTGTTTCGTGAGGGACGAATGTAGAGGATTCCCATTCTTGCAAAACTTCATCCAGCCCAGTGCGGATCGCAGAAAATTCCTCTGAGTTTAAGATCCCCGACGCATTTAACGCCAACGCGTAAGCTTGAGATCCTTTGATATCTGCCTTGAACATCCTTTTGTCATAAGACAAGGATTGGTTAAACTCGTGCATGAGAGGATCCGTAGATCCTATGGTCAAACAAGTCAGCATCTGGAGTAACTCTATCCAATACCCAGGAATTAAGCTCAAGAGGATGCTTACCAGTGAACCTACCACCCCACAGCTTCTGCTTAGTCACTTGTTCAGCCATTCTTAATTTCGGGGAAGATGACGAGGATGAGGTATGTCGGTGGGTATCTTTTGCTTGAAAGGGTCTGTCGGTGGTATCAAAATTTCGAATGGCCCACGGAGACCCCGAACTCTAAAACGAGTCTGGGCGAGCGGGAGCAGGGGGCGCCGCCGCAGCAGGGCGAGGCCGCAGCTGCCTCCACACAAGAAACAGCTTCAGATTGAAAACACGCGACGACGTTGGCAGAAATCGACGCGCCGAGATAATGTGATCTCGCCTACCATCTCCTCAAGGACTCGATCTGGATTGATTTTCTTTTTTTCTTCTTCTTGAAAATTAGACTGTCCTACCCAGGTTCGTAGAGCCTGTGCGTTGGATGGGTACTTCGGGACGGCGTTCCTGGGAGCACGCGCTTGAAAAAAGAGTGTGTTTATTTGCATGACAATTTGCCTGTAGGGTCAAAGACCCAGTCGGCGTACTATTGAGTAGAATAGATATGATAATCACCATATAAGGCTCTTTTATCCAGTATAACTTGGAGCTCAAAATTCCTTCGGTACGCCTCTGCATCGAGCATCAAGTCTTTACCAGCTGCTACACGACCCCACATCTGGTGTTTCTGTCCTATTTCCGGCGGTGCCAATGCATACAACTATGTACCGAACGTGGACCCTCTTCCCATCAAAGCATGCTCATATTTGGAGGTACATCCTAGGATTCATGCTAACGCTTCTAGCTACTTCCATGCTGGTGATGTATCGTGTCCGTGAACCAATCAAACCAGTCTCCCAGAGCCATATCCTATCAGAGGTCATCAATTCGCCTTTACCAGACATATCACTATCTCAATCTTCAATCGACCCTACTCTGGATTACCGGCGATTGTTAGAGATGACGACTTCTCCGAAAAACTTCAATCAGCACCATCCCACCCTCGGATTCGGACATATCTACTGCATTTCTCTACCGAATCGGCAAGACAGGCGCGAGACGATGACGAAGATCGCCGCCGCTCTTGGCGTCCGGATCACCTTCGTCGATGCAATATACAAGGATCACCCAGTCATTGGTTGGATTGGAGAGCGGGCCTCGGAAGTGAGGAAGAAAAAACTCGAATTGATGTCTCAATATAGCGGCATGGACAAAGAAAGTATCGGCGGGATGGGTGCAGGATCGGTCTGGCTGACGGTGAACAATGGACATGCGGCCAATCAAGACTTTCTTCGCAACATCAAATTGCCGTCCCTCGCAGCGGCCCGTCCAGAGTTTGAGGGAAAAGACTGGGTTGAGTATCTTTGGTCAGTTTCCGATCATTACACCCTAACAAGCAGCAACCCGGATTTCAACATCACAGCTGAAATGTGGGATCCTCAAGAAAAGATGCTTCCAAGACAAATAAACCCGGCAACAGTTTCAACTTATTATAATCATCTCAGGGTCCTTCGCACAATTCGAGAGAGTGGGGAAGCCAGCGCGTTGATTTTGGAAGATGATGTGGATATGGAATGGGATCTGGAACGTCGATGGAGATCAATCGAGAGCCATCTACCTTCGGACTGGGACACAGTATTCTTAGGCCATTGTTGGGGCCATGAACTGATTCGTGAGTCAACAAGAAACAAGGTACTGATTCTTATGGGTCTGTCTAAACAGCCTTAAGCTGACGGCCTTTTTTCTCCAGAGCCCCAATTCGGACACCCCAACCTACACAAATCCACCGAACCGCTCTGCTTGCATGGCTATGCCGTATCCGCTCTGGGATCGAGAAAACTATTGGAGCTCTATAATGATCCATGGACTTCATTTCAAACCCCAGTAGACACTTGTATTCCTACCTTTATCAAGCTGGGTTTAAATTCTTTCTCGATCGAGCCAACCATCATCAACCAATCAAAAGTTCTACAAAGCGATATTCAGAGCGGCAAGGGGAGCAGTTGGAAGGGATTGTTGGTCGATAGCGTCGCCGAGAGAATCTTGAAAAGTGAAGGCAAACCGGTAAATCACACTTTAACTCGGGAAGATAGTAAAAGTAACATTGACCCTGCCAGTAAGCCCAGTTTTTTTTTTTTTTCTACCTTGGTACAAAGTATTATATGCCTTCAATTAATGTTATCCGCACCATTTCAGCACTTTTTCGCTACAAGTCTGCTTCCATCAAAGCTCTCAAGGATACCCAGTGTAACAAGGGCGTATGAATAGTAAGGTCTCTCCGATGTCCTGATAAACTAGAACTCCGAAGGAACGCTCACGCCGCTGCGTAGAAAAAAAAACTTATGCCTAAAGGAACATTTAGTTGGTTGGTCTTACCGACAATAAATCACTCAGTCTTATTGCGGTATTGTTGGGTTCCCTCCTTGAAGGTATCGTTTCGTTTTGAGAATGTCTGTTAACAGGGTTAGAACCATTCATTTCTCATTTGTAATCCGAGTTGTCAGTTCAGTTAAAACCTATAGTAAAAGAAGAACGAAAGAAAAAAAAAACAGTATTGACATCGCCGGACACATTCGACGAAGGGACGTCTTCTTGCCTTCAAGTTGTATTTGTGATGAAGTGGATATGAATTTGGAATAGGCATTGTTCATCGAACATTAGAAAGATGGATATTTCTCCCAATGTGTCCAAACCAAGTTGTCTTCCAGATGGCTTGTTCATCACCTGAGCCTCTGATGTTGGCGCCGTCTTTCCCCCTGAACGAAAGCTGTTGATGGTTGTTAAAAGGCTCGTGTAGATATCTATCGGTGATTGATACATAAAACTAAAGTTATATCGTGACTTTGGGATTGCCGATGACATACGGCTCGGCTTCATTTGTTTGTTCACAGCGAACCGGCTAAATTGCTACCGCAGCCAATGATAGGACACACTGTTCGTTCATCGGACCGAAGGTGTGACCGGCGAGACCTACTTTAAATATGTACAGATTTGCAGCACATTGTTGTAGGAAGCTTTCCGAACAACCTCCAGCAGGTCCCATGCGTTCGAAATTCTCCAAAGTCTGCTCACATTGAGAATATGGCTGTCCACTCAGTGCAGAAAATCCCACCAGCGGCCTCCGTTGGACTTCCGCTGCTGGGGATTGAGTTTCCCACAAGTCGGAGAAACCGCAATCGGCTCGTGATTTCTGTCAGGCTCATACCTTCCGGTCCGTATTGCGATGGATTTTAAAATTCAAAAAAAATGGTGTATATCGCTGGCTTTCGGATTGTAGCAATGGAGGAGAGGACCCGGGATGAGACGATTCTTCCCTCAGCTGATCAATCACTCATCATCATCACCTGATCACCCCCACCAGTTAGAGTCTCTGTATGGACAGATCACCTTCCCCCTCGGAGTCCTGTGTTTGAACGGGATTGTGAATGTGTGCATGTATGAAGTGCAATGGTGCTGTACGCTGTAGTTTCAAGTACGAAATCGATGAAAATGGTACGTGTATTTGTTCCATTTTTCCGCTGATACAGTATCTTGTACTCAACCGTATTACAGCTGGAGGGATGTGTGGACTTTGTATAATCCATTAATCTCGGGCATTTTCGGACTGCGCGGTATTGGATATCCTGCTGCCAAGATGGTGTCGAGTCAAGTGAACACCGAGAAAGAGGCTCACCCACATGGTGCAAGTTATGGGTACCCAGCGCGTCGACGATTTTCTAACGACTGCACATACGCCTCCATAGGAGTCACATGGTGATGATCCAAACCGTGAGGACCATCCCCGGAAAGCTTTGGAATGCCTTGCGCAGGACCCTCAGCGTTTACCACAAAGACTCGCTGAAACAGGTTTCGTATTTTTGGCTTTCCATCGCTCAGTCGGGATACAACAAGAGTGTTTGGCTGGACCCGTGTTTGGTCCGCCCGGGGCTTGCCATGAGCGCATGTATGAGAACTGACGTACAATCTCAAAATAATAATCATATATGGATCGGAAAGAAACGGTGTCGGAGCTAGATATGTACCTCGCCGGGATCATAGACTAGTTATAAGATTGCTGCTCCGTTTCTCCCAGGGCTGTTGGACCCAGTCATCCTCAGTCCTCCTTAATCTCCCCCAGCCATGACCCGCAAACACGACTTGCCCACGAATAACCGGAGAACTACTACTTGGGTTGCGTTGCATCTCCTTTATGGGGCACTCCTTCTGGGCAGCTTCGCCGGCGCTTCTTCGCTTCTTCAGCTGGCCAAGCGCGAAGAACATCCCCAAGACACCTTTGCTGCTGATAAAGCCGGTCCAAACCTATCCTCTCACAACAACTTCCCAAGCTTTCTGAACTCGACCTCTGATTCTTGTCGGATTGACCGCTCACAACCGCCGGTACTGGACCAACTGATTGGATGCAAGAATTCTTCCTTGTTTCATCTGTGGCGTACCAAAGCACGAGTAACCGGGCCGCGAGGATGGATGAATGATCCTATGGCAATTTGTTCGTCCAAGCTCAAAGGCCATCAATACTTATTACTGTCAACTGAGCTATATCTCAATTGGTTTCCTTCTCTCCCTCGACTTTTCTAGTCGAAACCAAGAGCGGAGCTTATCACGTGGGCTACCAATGCAATCCGGATCATCTCGTGGTGAGTAGTAAATTCCAGCTAGCATAACTCCAATGCTTTACCAAACTGACTGACCAAGGGGCACAGTGGGCGAATATCTCACAATGTTCAGCTTTCACCACGGACTTTGTCCATTTCAAGGATCGTAAGTACCTCTATTCCTTTATCGGGGATATGGCCGCTCTTCTTTTTTTTTGACTTAAATCTTTCGTGCAGACCATAGCTGGAAAGATCCACGAACCATTGTAAGTGTTACTTTCCTTGCAACATGAGTCACTCCATCAATCCTGAGATTGTTGCTTGGCTTTCCACAGGTACCGACTCAGCTGTATGACATTAGAGGCGTATTTGATGGCACAGTGATCAAGGACGGCTGGAATGGTCATCCGAGCATCATATACACCTCCGTATTCACCGGCCCCATCGGAGCCCGAAGTAATCCACCTGAACTTGAAGGCGTGGAGACGCAGAGTGTTGCCTACACCGAGGATGATGGACACACTTGGACCAAGTTGAACTTTGGGGCCAACGGCAATCCAGTAATTTGTAAATTTTTCATCCTGTCTCAAGTTTCCTCTGATGATCTGAAGGCCTAATGACTCATGCGCTTCTGCCGGCGTTATTTTTTTGGGCGAAAATTCTCAGACAAGTGGCCAGAAAATCATCTCTCTGGATTCAGGGACCCATTTGTATTCAAATCCAGCGAGTTTTCCAGATTTTACGCCAACGAGTCAATTGTCCACCAGCTGCCTGGCAATCCGAATGCGCTCAAACCCAGTGGCCACAATTATCTACTCCTGAGTGGTGGAATCCGAACGGAAGTCGATCCAATCCATGGCGGACCGCGCCTGTTCCTCTACCGACAAACCGAGGAGAACAATATTCGGGATTGGACCTATCTAGGCCCCTTGGTATCTTCGATAGCTGAACGCAACCAAACCAGCGAATGGACCGGCGCCAAAGGTATCAACTATGAATGCGGCGCGGTCACCAAATTAGACGAGCACGGATTGGTCAAGCAGGAGGACGACTCCGCAGACTCTAAGACTCAGCTCAACATCATTGCCACAGGATCTGAAGGCGGTCGGACCGGCCCGGGTTATTGGCCGATTTGGCATGCCGTCAGTTGGGATTTTGATGCGGATGACGGAAACGTGAGATCCAAGATCGATTTTTCCGGGGTGATTGATTGGGGAAAGGCGTATGCGTTCCATCTGTTTGAGTCGAAAAATCGCCAGCTCCTTGTCGGTTGGACATACGTTCGTCTCTTTTTTGCATTTTGCCAATCATCCAACCCTCCAAGATACTGCATGGCTTTGCTAACAGAGATTGGCAACCCACACACACACACAGGAAGACGACGAGAAGAATATCCTGACACCCCAGAGAGGAGCCCAAGGTGCATTTACCCTGTTCAGGGAATTATTTGTCCAAGTCCTCCGGAACATCCATCCGGCCGCACTGAAGTCTCCGGAGCATGCACCTAGCTGGACCACCCGAACTGAAGCCGACGGGAGCCATTCTCTGATGACTGTAGGCCAAAGGATTCTCCCAGAAATCAGCTCGGCCTTCCGCAAACATTCCAAAGTTTCAGCACTCCCACCTCAGACCTTGAGCCCTGGATACAACCCGGGGGCCCACCAGCACAGTCTTTCGACCAATGCAGTCCGGCTCGAAAAGCAACCCAAAGATCGTTACTATGCCATCAGTGCCCGCCTCGAATTTTACGCTGATCGGAGAGAGCTCGATGGCGAAGATGTCGGCCGTGCCAAAATGTCTCGTGGGGGCTTCCGTATACTGTCCAGCCAGAACGAATGGACTGATGTGTACTACGATCCAAGCACCGAGTACCTCGTAGTTGACAGGTCTCGCAGTTCTGCCATTCCATCTTGTGAGCACACTTTGATTTCTGATCAATGATACAATGTAACATAGCCTGACATAGCCAATCACTCCATTCTCTTAGTCGGTAATTCCTCGGAGCGCGCCAAGCTCCGATTGTGGCCGATCGTCAACCCCGTCACCAAACGAGTGGAAATCGAGCCCCTGAACTTGACGATTATCGTCGACAACAGCGTCGTCGAGGTCCACGCCAACGAGCGAGCAATCATCACCACACGGGTCTACCCTTGGTACGAAGATTCGATCGGGATCGACTATTTGGTCGAAGGCCGCCCAACTGTGGTCGATGAGCTCCACCTCGCCAGGCATTCGGCTCTATCTGAAAACCAAAACCGGCTCGGCTCTCATGCCTTCCAGCCTCATTCCGTCCATTTCACCAACGTCGAGATATGGGATGGGCTGGTCAACGCTTGGCCAGACCGGCCCCGCGATACCCGTCTTCCCGGGGTCTACAGTCACAATATCACCAGCTCTCTTTATGGCCTATGGCCTGACCTGTGAAAGAAAACTCTTCTAATGTCAGCTCTTGATCGAATAACAACCTATTAGACTCTTCCATTCAAATATCCTACAAAGCATCATCTTTCTCTCCACATTCTTTAATTCAACTCTTGTTCGATCTTGGACGTCGGTCAGTTGTATTGTAATTCTCTAACCCCAGAGTTCATTGAGCATAAACTGCAAGTGGCAACATTTCTTCTTTCTCGTTTTGGGCATGTACTTTGTATTAAGTTTGTATATATCTGAGTTGTCAAGCCCAAACTGTTTTGGGGACCCAGGGCATTCTTCGATTGCAATCAACCTTTTTCGCCTTCTTTATATGTGAGAGCCCCTGTAATAACTACTGCATTATCCGGGCCAGACTCCGCCAATTGGTCCGCAATGATCTTGACCATACGATGCCACACCCTTATATGTAACCCTTTTCGAAGTGTAGATTCGGTTCGAATACCAGACACGCTTAAGTTCTTTCATTCGCACCATGTAAGAAAACAATGGAGTCAAAAGTGAATGTATTTCACTTGTGTTGATACAAGCAAAATGTTTCTTTTTCTTACATCAACGCACTGTATGTCACACACACACCAGTTCCTACATAATAGTTTGGCCATCAAAACTGGTGGTGGAATTAAAACAAGAACAAGTGCTACACCAAGTGGCAAGCCTCAAAGTGGGCCCGACCATCGAAACTCCGCAACTGCTTTCTATCCAATCGGTTTTATATATATCTTTGTTTTTGAGAAATAAATCTTCTTTGACTTGATGGAGGATAAGAAAGAAAAAAAGAATCTATGAATTTCTATCTATATATACGTTTTTGTTTTTTGTTGTTGTTGTTGGTGTAGGTTGCAGACTGATTGCAGTACTTACAATTTTTTTTTGTATGATGATCAGGACCTAAAGAAAAAAAAAAAGACTTTCTACAAGACCGAAAAGAAAAGAAGAAAAAAAAGCAAAAGCAAAACAAGAAAAAAATGAAAAAAAAAAAATGAAGAGCGGAAACATAAACTGAAAAAAAAAAAAAAAATCCTCAAAGAAACAAAAAGTAAAAAAAAAAAACGAGGTATATGTATACCAAGAAACAAGTGCTCTACAGCTCATCCTTCGAATGAGTTTCCTCTGCCGGTTCAGGAACCTCAGCAGAAGCCTTATCGTCCGGACGAGAAGTCGAGGATGGTTCCTGTTCTTGCGAGTGGGATTGTTGAGTTTGGTTGATTGTCGAATCAGCGGGGGAAGGTTTAGCGCTATAGGGCGGCTGTTGATCGGCGTTCTTCCTCTTCTTGGGCGCCTTTTTGAGGAGGGTCTTATTGATTTCACTCTGGACCAACTTGAGTCTCGCCTCGAAGTCCTGGACGGAAGCTGGCGGATCCTGATTCGGCTCGAGTTGCGCGACTTTGAGACTGGTCTCCTCGAACCATTCTTTCTGCGTCTTGACCATCTCCGCAAAGCTCTTGATCTCCTCGTCGGTGTACTTGGCCATCGGGTCCTGAGAAGACTCCCCTCCATCCTCGCGAATCGGCTTCAGAAGCAGTTGGGTACTCTGCGCCGTCGCCAAAGTCGCATTCAATCGCTCCATCGCCGCCGGCCGTTCTTTGGTCTCGACGATCCGTTTCTGGATCGGCTTTTCCAACCGTCTGTCATATGACCCGTCAATCTTTTCGCCATCCTTTCAATATCATAATAAACACTCACTCACTCTAACTTCTGTTTCTTTTCTTTCAATTCCTTCAGCGGAGCCTGTTCAGCCCAATCGTTCAACCACTCCGAGACCTCATCTCTGGCCGCCTTCAAGTCCTTAGTTTCCTGTTCGGTGCTGTGGGACTGGAACACCTGCTGTTCGAGACGGTCGCGAAGTTTGTACGTGTAAGCTTCCAATGCGTTCCGGGCTTCCTCGCGGTTCCTCTTACGAGTCTCGGCTGCTTTCAATTCACGCAGGCTGTGATAGTCCAAAAAGTGGGAGAGAGAGAAGGATCATCTCAGTCTGACAGCCATGAGCTTGCGACAGACAGACTCAGCAGAGACACGCACAATTTGCCAGAGGCAATCCTGTCGTTTGTAGACATCGGCTGGATCCCAAGGCTCTGACGTGTGATGGTCAGCTTGATGGTCATGTTCTCGACTTGCTGCTTCTTGCTAGCAGTGTCAGTCGCGCCAGCATTCTCAGCTTTCAAAGCTTCTTTAGCCTTTTCGACTTCACTTTGAGCTCCTTTCGAACTTCCCTTCTCTTTGGATTCGCTCTTGGAGGAGCTGTCATCCTCAGTCGCGACTTCCTCGATCGCCTCTTCGGCCTCTTCCTTGGTCGAACCTCCAAAGAATCCAGCAATCTTGTTCGCAATCGTTCCCTCGTTGGCCACACTCGTCTCAGTCGGGAAGATCAGAGTCGCTTCAGGAACAAGAACCAGCTCAGAATCATCTAATCCAACCACCAGCTTGACCGTCGTGTTTTTGAGAGGGACGGCGTGACCAGTTACGTTGGTGTAGTTCAACAATGCTGCCGAGATGCCATGGATGGTGACGTTGAGTAGCGAGCTTGGGAAGCTGGAAATAGACCGGTGTATGAGATAAGAATCAGTATAGAGAGTTTTCTGTAATAATGCTTGAGAAAGCTTACTAAGAAGGCTGGTTAAGGTAATCAAGCTGAACCGAGAAATCCTCGGCTTTCTTCATCTTGATGACCTTCTTAGCCCCGAGTTTCGAGCCAGTTTGGAACAAAGTAGTAGTGATAGTTTTGGTAGCCGCAACTTCAGCCGAAGCAGCATCAGTCTGAGTGAGAGGCTTGGTAACATTGTATGAGGCCGCGATGGCGTGAGGAGAGACGTTGTGGATCCGGACGTCCTTGGTCTTGAATTGCCGACTGATCCCGGCCCCGTACAGTGCGGCTCCCATCACCGCCGCTTCGTCTGCATTTACATTCACTGCGATGCGGTCCCTAGAAAAACATAACCATCATCAAATTATTGAGATCGAAAGAAGTGAGCTTTGAATTGGGAAAACTTAAAAAATGATGCTTACTCTCCAACAAGTGATTTGACGGCAGCTTGAACCATAGGCACTCGTGATGATCCACCTACTAGGATAACCGACTTGATGTCTGCCTGAAGGACGCATCCGTATTTTAGACCGATTGTGCAAAAAAAGCAAAAGGAAGTTACACACCATGCTCATTTTCGCATGTTCAAGGGCGTCAAGGATTGGCTGAGTGAATTGAGGGATCTCTTTGACACAAGCGTCTTCGAAAGCTTGACGAGTGAGTGTCGATTTAAAATCATGTTCGTCTACTAGGCCTTCGATCTAAGGTGATCGAGAGAAGATAAGAACCAGACTGTTGTTGACTTGAAGATGACAAGATTGAGATGGGATGACTTACCCTGGACTGACTTTCAGCATTTGCGCTCAAGACTTGCTTCACCCGGGTCGCCTCACGCAAAAGTTTAGTCATCGCCCGATCATTCTTACTGACATCAATCTTGGTCTGAGTGAGGAAGTCCTGCTTGAGGAGATCGCGAATCTTCTGATCGAACACCAGTCCGCCCATGTTTCTCTGATGGCCATAACCCTTCACATCGACCATCGTCACATTCTTCTTGGTCTTAGAGGACACATGGATCTTTTCTTCAAACATCGAGAATTCGATCACAGTGGCTTTGATCGAACTAGCCCCGAAGTCGTAGATCAAGTGGGTTTCGATCCCTGGTCCTCCTTCAGCAGCAGTCGACTTGGAGCCCGTCTTCTTGTTCCCAAACGTCCTCATCATCGCATAGTTCACCCCGAAACTAGCCCCATCGTCGATCAAATTGAGCACCTTCAATCCGGCCAATTCGGCCCCATCGAGAAGAGCTTTGCGTTCGAATTGGTTGAAAAACCCGGGTACGGTGATGATGCAATCGGTGATCTTTTCACCACCGAGACCGGGCACGCCAGCGTTTGGATTGTTGGCACTGGCCGCATCGGCCAGTTCACGAGCGTAGGAGAACTGTAGGGCTACGAGCTCCTCGGGCAGGTAGGTGACGGTAGTATTCCCCTTCGGTGGGAGTTGCGGCATAAGTTTGATCGTACCTCGAGTCGTACTTTCGGCGGGAATGTTGTATAACGATTGGTGTAGATTGTAGGCGGGAGAGTCGAGCGGCTGACCAAGCAATAGTTTCAGACCAGGGTAGGAGTTCTGAGGGTATCTTGCCGCCTAAGATGAAAATCATAGGACCATCAATTTATGCGATGTGTCTCAGATTAGGAGGAGCTTGAGGCTTACCATGGCTGCAGCATCATCACCAATTAGCTTGTCATCGCCTCTGACCGAAACAACGGCTTGGGTTTTCCGTTTAGAGTCGTGATTGAGGAGGACATCGAATGGGATTCCAGGCTGGACGAGCGACAATTTCATAAATTCTTTGTGGAGAAAAAGAAGGAAAAAAAAAAAAAATCAGTAACTCAGAAAATGATGATGTGTTTAACTTCTGAGCCGTATTTATGAGGGATACGGACGAGTTCCATAGTCTATGGCCAGTATCCCTCTGGCTGTCGCCGTGGGGAATAAGCTGGTCGAAAGTAATCCAAGGGAAAGACCCCATTGGAGGAGCCTCATGGCTAGCGATGTGGGAGGGAAATGCGTCCAACGAGTAGCTCCTGCTCGGCACTCTACCATCATAACAAAAAGTTTATTAATATTGGGGTTTGCAATAATATGGAAAATGATGATATTGTAACTCACAAGAAATTCGAAATTGCTATCCGATAGGATTGAGTGTTTTCTTCTCAAGTCGATGGTGCTCTTTTTGTTTTGGTTTTTCTCTTGTGGATGATGGATGGATAGTTGTTGTTGGGAATTGTCTGATCGAGCGCCTTCCACGCTGGCACAGCAACGACTGCCAGTCGACCGTAACCTGTCACGACACTCCACTCAGATGACGACGGCAGATGTTACAAACCGTGAAACCCAGCAGCCGGCGAGCTCTCAACTCCGCACCCCAACAATGAGAAAACTTAAAATCTTCATCCTCATACAATATACTAGAACATTCCAGTGACTCCTCAAGCCATCCATCCATCCATCCATCCCAAGAATGTGAACACCGAAACACCACAGAAAAAAAAATATGTGATAACTTGGTTATTAAAAAAAAAAAAAGAAAAGAAAGATCTACACACAACTGGTACATAAATACTTATTTACATCTTTCAAAAGAAAAAGAGTAGAAAGAACCCACCAACAAACAAAGGGAAAAAAACGTTGTATCATTATTATTAAAAAGAAAAAGAAGAGTCCCGTGATTGACAATTCGAAAAAAAAAGAATAAGTAAAAAGAGAAATGAATGGATCTAGATGACGTCTTCTATAATAGGACCGGACCCAGAGGGAGCAGCAGTAGGAGGAGGAGGAAGATTAACGAGCTGAGAAGACGGATTGAGGGCGACATGGGTGCCAGCCAGGAGCTCTTTTTCTCTCTGGACGATCCGCAATTTCTCTGCGGTAGTTTTCGGCATCCCGGGGAACTCTGGCGGTTTGAAGGAGTCCGGGAGGAGAGGTTTGGGTTGCGGGAGCGGGTCGCGGCCTTCATGCGGAGGCCAATGGAATCCCCATTCGATGTATTTCGGTTGTTGGGCGCTGGTGGAGGAGGTATTATTTTGATTGGGTGGGTCGATCTTATTGAGGTCCTTGATCCGATAAGGTAACGGTTCACCCGCCTCGCCAAGTTCCGAGGGGGGCCCGAGCCGAGTCATCCGACTGACGAGTGTGAATCGTTCGGCCCTGGCCTGCTGTCCGATGCGTTGGAAGAGACGAGGGATGAGGTCGGGGATGCGTGGGTAGGGCTGATGGAACGGCGGACAGGCGGGGAACTGGATCGGGACGGGCATGGTGACCGGGGCCGGCAAGGGGGTGTGGCCGAACGGCTTCAGCTCGGGCACCGGCAACAGTCGCCCGTCTTGGCTCGGCGGATGCGGGATCCAGCCCGCCGACCAGCGGTTGGTCCGGATCGGACTCACCGGGATCGTCCCGATCAGACTGTCGGGCACTGCCATCGTCTGCTCTCCAGCTATGAACCGATGTCGCACCGGGTTCCGCTTCATGAACTTCGCCTCCTCGGTCCCTCCCTTGTTGTTGTTGTTGTTCGTCGTCGTCTTCTTCTCCTCGACCATGTATGCATAGGTCTGTAGGAATCCATCCATCGAATTCGATCGTTTCGCCTTCTTACGTGAAGGTGATTCTTCTTCTGCTTCCTTTTCTTTCGATCGATTTACTGGGTCGACGAAGGATGGAGTAGAGTGGATCGGGGCTTGAGGTTCCAGGAATGATGGACCATGGCTTTCGGCTAATTGTGATTTGGAGAACGGGATGGCGACGAGATAGGGGTTGAGATTGATTGAGGGGTTCAGTTGTTGGTCAAGGGGCTCGATGGTAGGGGATGTGGGGATTGGGTTTGGATGATCGATCGGAGGCGGATCGGTCTGGCTACTACCCGAGGCTCGTTCTAAGCCAGGGAAGGGTGGGAAGTGAGCAGGGACGTAGGCGGGGATATCCTCGATGGATCTCCAGGGTGAGATCTGATCGAGTGTGGTCGGTTGAGTGGTTGTTGTTGTTGAGGTGGCGAGATTCTTGTTGGAGTGTGGATCGTGGGGGAGATCAGAGTCTTGCTGTGATGAGTCGGATGAGCTGTAGGATGGGCTTGGATGGTCCTGCTCCTCGAGGTCAGATTCTCCGGCGCGATCGAGTTCGAGGATCTCTGCATCTGTGAGTGGGAGGAATGATAGGGTGGTGATGGGTTCTATTGAAGGGGTGTGAGTGAATTCTGTGGATGAAATGGTGGTTCAGTTTTTTTTTTTTCTATCTGGAGTGAGAGTGCAGATTGTGTTTTACCTTTGAGGTTCTTGGCTAGCTTGACTAGTTTCTCGACTGGTTGTTTCTGAGATTGATGACTAGTTGTTGTTGTTAGGTTATCGATACACCAGTTCTGTAATCCGGAGATCGCCCCAGGGCCTTCCAAGTTCTCGAGTACAGTGGATAGGTCCCATCCGTTGATCTGAGTTCTTCCCGAGTGGTCTGCGGTGTTTCTTGCGGCCTGTGCGATGAGTTCTAGGTATCCAGCTGCTACATCGGTGAGGGTTGAGAGTGAGAGTGGTCTGACAGATGTGAATTGGGTTGAGTTTGCTAGGATCTGCAGTGTTGCTATTGCCAGTAGTCTTGCTGGTAGTTCTCCTGGTTCGTTTGATGATGATGGTTCCTGTAGGAGAGTATTGCTGATCGTCATTTCCTAGTTTTTGTTGGTTGGTGGTTGGTTCTTGGTGGTTGTTGTTTTGTTGAGGATGAACATCACATAGGGTTAATGAGCCTGCTCGTGACAGGTCGGATGGTCAACTGCTGTGACAGTCCCTGTGACAGGCTCGAACTCGTCACTCACCAAAAAAAACAAACACAGCAAACCAACACACCACCACCAACCATCTCGATCATCATCATCATCATCATCAAAATGGCAGGCTCATTCCCAGTCTCAGTCAAACGTCAGTCACATAAACAACAACAATAAAAGGAAAATTCTGAGGTATATATCACTGCTGATCAACTTTTCCTACTATTCAGATGGCCAGAAGAAGTACGACCTCCAACTCGACACATCCCAACCACCCAGCGCATTCAAACAAGCCATTTACCAACTCACCGGAGTCGGTCAGTCTACCCTCCACACCATCAACTCTTCACAAACTGACCCATCCATCCTCAACAGCACCAATCCAACAAAAGATTCTCGTCAAGGGTGGTCAACTGAAGGACGAATCAGATTGGTCTAAACTGGCCATCAAACCAGTCAGTCATCTATCTTCATCATCCTCTACGCGCTTTGGGTGATATGTATCATGACACTAATGAACCATTCAAAAACATAGGGTCACCAATTCATGCTCATCGGAACCGCCGGTGAACTGCCACCACCACCAACCCAACAGGCGATCTTTGTAGAAGATCTCACCGAGACCGAACTTGCTGAAGCCGTCAGTCTACATTCATCATCCCTTCTCATACCCTCACTCTCACTAAATGAAGAAAAAACCCATTTCACAGGATCCTTTCCCCGCTGGATTGGAAAACTTGGGAAACACTTGCTACTTGAACTCCACCGTCCAAGTTCTTCGGGCCATACCCGAATTACAAACCAATCTGACAAAGTACGTAAGCCTCTTTGATAACCAAAAACAAATCAGGTCATTGACCGACGATCAAACCCTACTAGATACACTCGAGCAGCCGATCCGAGCCGAAACGACGTGGCCTTGACCTGCTCACTACGAGATACTTACCAAGACTTAACCAAATCATCCGACGGGTACTCCCCCTTCAACTTGATCGCCACTCTACGATCCTATGCCCCGCAGTTTGCTCAACAAACTCAGGGGCATTACGCACAACAGGATGCAGAGGAATGCTGGGTTCAACTCTTGAGTGCCGTTCGGAGTACACTGGATTCATCCGTCGGTACCGATGGCAAGTTTGTCGAACGGTACTTGACCGGTGAACTCGAGACAGAGTCAGTCTTTTCTCTTTCTATCCAGTATTCTCTAGCAAGTCAGCTCACCTCATCCCCCCCCCGTCCTTTTAAGAACTAAATGTACTGAAGCTCCTGAGGAACCACCAACGATCTCAAAAGAAAAATGGTTGGAGTTGAAGTGTAACATCAGCATCTCGACGAACTACATGATCACTGGAATTCAAGATGGCTTGAAACAACCTCTCGAAAAACTCAGTCCATCTTTGGGTCGATCGGCACAGTATCTCCAAACCTCTAAGATTTCCCGATTACCCGCGTGAGTTCATCTGTCTTTTTATATAATAAGTCAGCTCAAATTGAAGAAATGCTGATCGATTAAACTGTGTATGGTGACGATAGGTATTTGGCGATTCATATGGTGAGATTCTACTGGAGACGGGACATCAACAAGAAGACGAAGATCATGCGAAAAGTGAAGTTCCCGTTCAACCTAGATCTGACGGATCTGTTGAGTGACAAGTTGAAGAGCCAAGTCGGACCGGCGGCGAGCAAGCTAAAAGACATTGAGAAAGATCGACGGGAGCGAATCAAGATTCAAAAGAAGAAGAAGATCGCCAAGGAGGAGAGTTCGAAGAACCAGATGGCGATCGACCAACAGCCCAATGGGGCTGGAGCCGCAAGCACGAGCTCGGCCCCACCCCCGACCGAGGAGAAGCCTATTGAAGGCGCCCAGGAGGAGGAGGAGGAGGATGAGGCGACGATCAGGGAGAGAGAGGCCGCGGTATTGATGAGCTTGATGGACCCTGAATTGGTAAACGATGTGGGGACGAACCCGACTGCCCAATACGAACTGTGCGGGATCGTTACCCACAAAGGCGCCTCGGCCGATGGAGGTCCGTCTTCTTCCTTGAATCTTTCAAAAAAAAAACATCTTTAGGAACCCACTCCATTGACAACTTTGATTTGGGTGTGGCAGGCCATTATATGGCTTGGGTTAGGTGCGACGCTGCCAAGGCTAATCCTAATCTACCTCAACCATCCACCAGCGAGCCATCGAGCTCAACCAAAAAACTGGAACACCAAGATCCGGATGACCAAGAATGGTAGTAAGTCTCGATGTTTTTTTTTTTTCTCCAATCACAATCATCTACCTTTCTTTTTTTCGTCTGTTATCGAGCATCCCTTTTTCAATAATCCTTCTTCAACCTTTCTCCCTTTATCTGCTTTTTTGGTCATAATACTGATGAGTTTTTTGGGGGGGTTTGTAGTAAATTTGATGATGAGAAAGTCTCGATCGTCCATAAAGATAAGATCTTGGGCTTGGATGGCGGCGGTGAAGATTCGATCGCTTATATCTTACTCTATCGTCCCACGAAAATCTGATATATATATATTTATGTTAGAAAAAGATATGTTCGAGGGATATCTTACTATAGAAGAACAAACAAACAAAAAAGAACACACCTTTTTTTCTTTTTTTTCTCTTTATGGCTTTTTTTTTTTTTCAAAAATAAAATCTTTCCAAACATTGTTCTGTTATGTGATAAAAAAAAAGAAACAAATCAAATCAAATCAAAGAGCTTGTTCTACATCTGCAATCTAGAGAGTTGATTTCCGGGAGAGACTTGGGCTGCTTAGATGTACAAATTGGCAAGAAGAATAGAACAAAATAGTAGTAGTAAGAAACTATATGAGCAGGAGGATAGGTCTTCTTGATCTTTGATTTTCAATTTGTTCATTTTAGTCTTCTTGCGTGGGAAGTCGTGGGTGATGATGATGAGTATTGATGATCAGACCAGTCGAAGTGAAATTGATAGACTGTCAAAAAAACAATAAGAGAACTTAGTCCAGAGAGTTGTGGTTTATCATCTGCGAAAATCCACTGCTTCCCCTTCCCGGTATCGATCCACAAAGTTATTTATCTGCCTTGTTTTGATTGAGATCTGCCATCATCCATGTGTGTACTATAGCTCTTCTGCTTCTGTTCTTCCAGCGCACCACATATCCCTGACTTAACTACACTACGGGGGCACTTTTAAGGTTTGGGTTCGCAAAAGTTGCGAAATATAAGAACTTCGCAAGCTTGACGAAGCGTTCGCAAAAACTTTCGCAACTTTTCCACAAGTTTCGTAAAAAAGGCGAAACAAGCTGCGAAAGCAGCTTGTTAAGGTTTTGATCTGGAACAACTCCGGTTTTTTATGCGGATTGTGCCGGATCAAAACCTTGAGGTTTGCTTTCGCAATAATCTTCGAAAGATGTCGCGCAAGTTTGGTCGGATTGCGCAAATCTTTCGCAACTCTTGTCGCAGATCTTGTCGCAGAGTTCTTTCGATGGATGCCAAAACCATTTGGGCTCTGGGACTCGGAGGAAAACACCTCAAACAGTCCGCGAGCTTGTACAGACTCTCCGTCGAACGCACGAAGTGCGGGAGAGGCTTGAGCCCAAAACGAACACGACTGGGTGTCACAGTTGAGTTTTTTGGCTGTTTTTTGCGCCAAAAATCATAGAAAATCCAGCTTTTGGATTTCTTGAAAGCTGAGATGGAGTGAAGATGCCCAACATGGAGGTCTTGACTTCTATCAAGAAACTTTTGGGAAAAAATGAAGACTACACAGTTGAAAAATTTTAAAGGAAAGTTTGCCCAATGGCAAATTGGCTGAGCTTACATAAGCCAGTTTCAATCTCACTGCCTACCATGTGAGAACATTTTCTCAATTTGACCAACTTAAAAAAGATCCACCTCATCCAATTTTCAAGATGAAGTTCTGAAAATTGGATGAGGTGAGAGGCATCACCAAGCACCAAAAGCTTGTCTACTCAAATCGCCAATAGCTGGTGATGTAAATGCTGTACATCCAGCTCAATGTGCGTTACACCAAAAGTGCCCAACCGTGACACGCGGGCCTGTTCGTGTTTGTCTTAAGTCCCTCCTTCGGAGGCTCGCGCTTCGCGCGAGTGGCGTTCCACGCCAGCCAAGGCCACCAGGCCCTCCGAAGCGAGGGACTTTGATAAGTTCGAACAGTCCGCAGCACCCATGTTTGACCCCGACTCCATCGGAAATTCAACTCAGGATACAAAGTTCACCCCATCCCTTCATGCCCAAACCTCACTCAATCCGGATTCCCTCCTGTCTCAAATCATTCATCTCATTGGAATCCCCCCCCCAAAAAAAAACAAAAACACTTCCACCCACCCAAAATAATTCAAGGTGAGGCCCGTTTTCAAATGATTGCCCCGACTTTACTTCATCGTTCTTCCAAGTCCAAACTAGCGATCAAAGCTACAGCAAAAGGAAAGGCAAGGAACCCATCAACTCCCATCAAGTCGTTCAGGATCCGCAAAGCCATTTTCATTTATCTTAATTTTTTTCTTGTTTCACTTCTGTCCTTTCCTTTTCCCTCTCATCTCTTTCATTCAATGATTGTATAAGACATCAATAAGAAGAATCTCCCTCTGTCTCATTGCTCTCCATCTATAATTTATCTTGTCCTTATTTTTATTTATTCTTATGTTATTCATGTTATTCATTGTTCCTTGTTTTCCTTTGATTCCTCTCAATCTCATCTCTTCCTCCTTTATCAACCTGTTTCCTCAGCCAATGTTTCATTGATCGGATGCAAGATGTTGTTTTCATTCATTTCATTTACTTTTCTTTTGATCGATCGATGTGATCGATGTGATTAAAGAAATACAAGCGTTTTTTTTTATTTCTTTATAATAAGTACCAGCAAGATGAAAAACAAAGGAAAGGAGTGTTACGAAACACTTGCGAAACTATTTCGCAATCATAGTGAAAATGAGATTCGCAATAAATGCGAAACTTTGGGATTGCGGAATTTATTGCGCAATCCTTGCGAAAGTATTTCGCAAGTCTTGCGCAAAGCCTTTGGAATCCCTTTTGCAAGGGACGCAAGACTTTTGCAATCCTTTTCGCACGGGATTGCGTAACTCACCAGGACCAAGGTCGGCGACATCCTCCCCTGCAGGCGGAGGCTGCGCAACTATTCCAAAACAATTTCGCAATAATTGCAAAATGCAGCGCCCGTAGTGTATGAGCCTCTCGAACACAGAGGCGGAGGGGGGCGCCAGCCAGGCAATACCTGGCCCCCCCAATCGAGCGGAACGCACTGTGTCTGCTCTTCCCGAACTTGAGGTTCTTTGCCGGGTTACTATTGGCAACTTCTGTCACTTGTTTTCTGTGCCCAATGTAGGGTTGGCGGCGCCAGTCACGGGGCGCGCCCTGGGCGCTGTCGCACCCCGAGGCGACGGGGTGCGACGGTGGGGGTGTTGTTTGAAAGCCAAGAATCCCCTCTGCCTTGCCCTCTCTCCTCGCCCTCGCCATGCCTCAGGTCTCTCCTATGCTCAGGCAATTCATCAAGAAGTAAAGCATTCTCTCTGACTCC